CTGGTGCGGAGCATGGCCGACCTGGAGACCCTGCACGGCATCCGTGTGACGTGCGTCGAGCCGGGCGTGGTCAAGACGCCGCTGTGGACGGACCATCCGGAGAAACTGAAGATGATCAAGCAGGATGGCGAGGATGCCGATGCTTGGGTCACGCCCGAGGAGGTCGCCCAGGTCATGCTGAGCTGTGTCAAGGACGATGAGATCCCGAATGTCATCGAGGCAAGTCCGAGCGCAAAGGACGTGGCCGTGGAAAGAGAGATGATCCGGATCCAGGGCGGGTCGTGTCTGGAAGTTCTTGCCGGGACCATCAGAGACGTTCCGATGTTCAATAACGTCGGACCGTATGCCCTGGGGAGGAAAGGCGCGTCCGTGACCGACAGGGAAAAGCTCTACCAAGAGATCCATGGGGTGTTGAAGCCGGGCTGGGGCAAAGCACAGTGAGAGAGAGGGAGAGGCAGAGAGAGAGAGATCTGGAATGGATCCAGAGCAAGCAAAAGCGCGTGGTAACGGGCCGCCTGTGTAGACGTCGTATCCGCACTCAAAGGACCGGGAATACACAAATAGACCTGGCAATTGTGTCAAAGTACGAACGGGTCTTGCTGACAGGGCAAGATACATACACTCCTTTGCAAGCCTGTGGAATCCCCATCATCGAGCTCGATTGCCGTAGTCGTGGCCACATATATGTTGCCTTTCTGGTCGGCCAGCGAGTGAAATTCGGCGGCAGTCTTCTCAGGCTGACTGCTTGAAGGGATGGTAGGATCCGGCGGGTGATTAGATTTGCGTTCAAACTGCTCTATCTAAGGTTTAGTATCAGCCCAAGGATCGCTGTTGGCTGGAATGGGAAAGCGCCCAGTAATCGACCGGCGCTGAGACGTAGCAGTTGTTGCGAGACTGAATGGGCTGCTCCAAGTGACGACGTTGATCTCTAGGGGGACGCCTCGAGAGCTGCCCGGATTGGACGTCAACAGCATTGGCCGTATCGATTTTGAAAAGGAATGGGAGACCGTTGCCCAGGTCACAGCGTTCTGTTCGTGGGACAAAATGGCAACAAGGACGACAATAGGAACCAGCAGCTGTAGGGGATCAATTACCCAGGCAATTAAGTTAAGCCATACGCAAAGTGGCCGGGCTGGTTGTATGTAGCGGCATCTGAGATCGGAGTGACTAGGACAAAGTTGTTATCCTGGTCAGTGGCAGCGCCGAATGCGATGCCCAGCCCAAACAGAAGTACTGCGAGTCAACGACGAGCCAATATATTCCATGACAGACAAGCATGAGCAGCAGTGAGTAACGTGGTCACCCTTCAGGCACTAGGTCACACCATCCGGGGAATACAGACCTCGGAAAGCTAAACCGTTCAGGTTGTGGGAGAGGCATTTTGGGCGCCATTCTGTCGCCTGTGACCTTGTCGTCTGGTGAACAGCAAAGTATCTGGCCCTACTGAATGGTGTCTGCACTGTAGAGGTTTCCACATAGAAGCTCCAAGCCATTGTCGAGCTTCTCTCAGCGTTTTGCACCTGCGAAGGAAACCCTGGCAGCGGTCTCTCTGACTTTTGACTCATGGCAAAACTGCCAGGGAGGAGGCTTCAGAGGTAAAGCGTGAGCCAACCCTTGAATACGGCTAGAAAGCAGAATTTGCGGCCAAGAAGGGCCCTTAACCCATGGCTGTTCCATGATGTCGTGTCGATTAGTGCTTTGGCCCGGCTGGATGAGAATTGCGCCTGCAGCCGAGTACAGCAGCGTGAAACATGATGAGAGGGTTGCCCTTGCACGGTCGAGGCCATAAGATCAGACGGTAAGAATTATGGACCCCAACAAGTCGGTACCCTATCCTCGCCGGGATGATCTTGTTCGGCCTCAGCCCCGAAGAGCGACTTTGGGTCATTGTGTGAATCTCAGACCACTCGGAATGGCAGCAACAGCAAAGTATCGACCTTCACGCGTTCACACTGGAATAGACGTGCAAGGAGCTGAATGACGTCGAATTTGCACAGTACATTGTTAATAGCGGCCCATGTGCAAAGAGTTGAGGGCAAAATGAGCGCTGCTACAAGCCGTGTAATGCTCCACCGAAGCGTCGACAGCACGTGACTAGACGTCATTGTCAAGATCGCGCAAATCGCATCCACTTGAGTCGATCTGCGTCCGTCGTCAATCTGTCGCTTGCACATATTGCGCAGTAAGCCTTCTGCGCTGTCGGTTTGCGACGACAACATGCTCGACGCTTTCGAGATCCTAACGACGTCCGGGGTCGTATTGTGGTCGCGATCCTCGTCCAAAATCGGGCCCGCCGCGGTCAACAGCCTGATCAACGATGTCTTTATCGAAGAGAAGGTCCGTCCGACAGCGACGAACTCAGGCAAACCCACATACAAGCACGACAAATACACCCTGAAGTACACTCTGGTCAAAGACTTAGGGCTCATATTTGTCGCGGTCTACCAGTCTCTGCTTCACCTCACCTGGGTTGACAAATTGCTCGATGATGTCCGGACCATCTTTGTCGAAGTCTACCGCGGTCAGCTGGAGGAACTAGACTACACTGCGCTGAAGTATCCTTTCGACAAGTACTTTGACGAGGAGTTGCGTAGATTGGACCAGAATACGGGCGGCGCAGTCACCACGCAGCCAACCCAAATCGCCGCGGCGCAGGAGGACAAGAAATCGAGTGCTGAAGAGGGAGACACCGGAGGGCCCCCACCACCGGAAATACCTTCGCTGATCAAGGCACAGCCAAAAGCTGTGCCAGTGGTGAATGGAGTTTCGGCCCGGGACACACCTGTTCAGTCACCTGAAACCTCGCGTCCGTCAACACCTCTCCCGGGCATCGCGCCGCATTTGTTGACAGAGAACAAGAGACCGGGAAGTCGAGGCTCCAGGAGACAGAGAAAGGCCGCCAATGCTGTTGCGTCTCCAGGCGTCTCTAGTGGGGACGAAGCTCGGAAACCCAAAGCATCCAAGGGAGCAGCAAAGAAGGGTCGGGTCTGGGGTCCCGACGGCATCGCAGACGACGCCGACGACACCAAGCTCGATTACTCGAATGCCGACGCTGATGCTGACAACAAGGGAGTAACATCTCCGCCACCGGAAGAAATAGCTCAAGAGAGTTGGGGCACGAAGAACAAACAAGGCCAATTCGTCCTGAAAGACCTGGGTGACGAGGTCAACAATATCTTGAAATCCGCAGATCTGAACAAGCCTGCGACCAATGGAACCGGAAAGTCGACTTTTGGAGCTATTTCAGGCTATTTCAGAAATATTGTCGGTGGCAAAACATTGACAAAGGAAGACCTTGACAAGCCCTTGAAAGCCATGGAAGAACATCTGATCAACAAGAACGTCGCACGCGATGCAGCGATCCGATTGTGCCAGGGAGTCGAAGCTGAAATGCTGGGCAAGAAGACAGGCGCGTTCGAATCGATCGATGCGGCCCTGAGACCTGCACTAGAGAACTCCCTCCGACGCATCCTTACGCCCAGATCGTCGTTGGACCTGCTGCAGCAAATCGAGACTGTGGCAAATCCCACCGGCGCAAAAGCTCAACCCCGGCCATTCGTGATTACCATTCTGGGTGTCAATGGAGTCGGAAAATCTACCAACCTCTCCAAGCTTTGCTACTTCCTCCTTCAGAACAATTACCGTGTCCTGATCGCAGCAGGCGACACCTTCAGATCTGGCGCCGTGGAACAGCTGAACGTCCATGTACGCAACTTGAAAGAACTCACCGCTCGCGAACGCCTTGGCGCAGTTAGTATCTACGAGAAAGGCTATGGAAAGGACGCGGCAAACGTTGCTAGAGATGCAGTGTCGTTCGCCAAGGAGAACGACTACCAGGTCGTGCTCGTCGATACGGCGGGGCGAGCTCATACGAACACCCAGCTCATGGCTGCGCTGGAAAAGCTCGTCGACTTCGCGAAGCCGGATCTGGTCTTGCAGGTCGCCGAGGCCTTGGTGGGGAATGATTCGGTAGGCCAAGCCCAGAACTTCACCAAAGCATTGGGCAAAGGCCGCAAGCTCGATGGGTTCATCGTCTCGAAGGTTGATACTGTGGGCTCGGGCATTGGAACAATGATCTCCCTCGTGCATGCCACCTCGGTGCCTGTGCAATTCATCGGCGTGGGTCAGCATTACGGTGATTTGAGGCAGTTGTCTGTTCCATGGGCGGTGAATATGCTGATGAGCTGATTCTCGTGATGCGGGAGGCGATATGACAGCTCTGGGTGGTTTGGCTGTTTCGAATGGCCACCAAAGATATGTCGCCCTACGTTCAGGCGAAATGAATACATGACTGACTGCACGATCACGTCCAGCTGTGCAACGAACAATGAAGACATTTCACATGCGACCCTCTACTTCGAGTGTTTTTTCTTCGCCGTGCTTGTTCTCAGACTGTCTTCTTGGTGATAATTGGCTGTCCCGTGTTCCTGCTACGAGTGAGTGTTCGTTTTGTTCCCACCTCAATAGTCGCGCTCCATTTCGATAAGACAGGCTGCTCCCACGACCAGATACGCCATATCTTGTGGCGGGAGCCGCTTTTCGTCGATAGAGCGTGCACGCCCCGAGGCTCGGTCATGTAGTCCTCCAGGAAAGTCTTTTGAGACGGCCATCTGCGATCATGACTGCTCCACTGATATGTAGATTGATTGCAAGCCTTGCTTCTCACGCCCGTCGAAGGGAAAATGCGCGCCCAGACACACGTTAGCATGCGGAAGGACTGCGCGTCCTGCGAGGGATGCACTCAGACATCGTTTTAATGGATGGCCAGAGAATGCAATGTATCAGCAAGGGGTTGGTGGGGAAGGGGTCTGGAATTACTTTGCAATGAGAGAGAGTCACTCGATCAACAAGAACTCTCGTTGTAGATCAATACACAGTCCACGAGGAACTACAAGTGCTTGCAAAAGTGCGTTCAAATTGGACACCATTGTCAGGCTCGGATTCTCGTCAATCATGGATCGCGCAAACCCAGCCACTACTGAGCAAATTTTCGTCTCGTATTAAACCGAGGCTGATTCCTTCCTCATGCTGCCATATCTCTGCGTCTCCCTCTTGTCGTATCGCTGCTCTTCACAGATTGCTCCAGAGGAGTCTGCTTCTCTTATGGTATGAGTCATTCCCCAGTGCATCAGGCCGTCGACAGGCCCTGCGGACGTCGGATACAAAAAATGGGCCCAGGCAAGCACATATGGAGTATTGCGTTTGAAAAATCGAGGGAGACAGGGATCAAGTCGGACAGGGGTGCACCGCATGGCGACCGTGATGTTGCCGTACAGCACAGGCGAGCCTTCTGCCCATATCTTTCGGCAAACACGGAGGAACTGAGCTGATAAGCCGCTGCTGTTGATATAGTAGCGGACATCATAGAGCTCTGTCCAATCAAGTTGATCGTGACGTGGAGACTGGTGCGCGGCCACCGCCTGTTTCAGATGGAAGAATTGACACGCCGAATCGGAAGAGCACAGAAAAGCGAGGATCTGGCTGTTGTCCACCAGTACCTCTCGGTAAATCTTGTTCATTATCTCAGGCGGGAAGTTCAAATAACCCAACGGGCCAGTCGGTGTGCGAGGCCGAACGGTAGGAAGGTGGTCCATCCCGATGTGTGTGCTTTGACTGACTAGACGGTGCCGGCCGATCTTAACGGCAAAGCAGCTGGTAGTACTGGAATAGAAGGCGATAGACGTTGTCTTCTGTAGTAGGTGTGAGATGAGATGCTGCTGGAGAACGATAGACTTTGGAATATGGCGATGTCGAGAATGTGGCTGGGTGACGTGAACACGACTCCGGCAAGCAAAGAGACTAAAGCGGGAGAGTCCTCACTTCGTCCAACAGCAGGTGCCACGGCCGGCCGTCCGTAGGTGGGCAGGAGCAGGTCGTGCTCTCTTCATCGCTTCGTCTTTTTGATGGCCATCTTCTTCCTTCGTGCAATCTCCGAGGGGAATACCATAGAATTCCTGGGCTTTTTCTTCGATATCTTGTGGGCTTTGCGATTGACTCTGTTCTTTCCTGAGGCTGATCTGACGGCCTTCATCTTTGCGCCTTGCGCATCAATGTCCATTTCTACAATACTAATCAGTGTTTGATACGGCTTCAAATGCCGAAAGACTATACCCTCGTTGCCGTCAGTTCTAGGCTGGTCTTCAGCGTCTTCTCCGTTCCTCTCGTCTACATCCATAGACTTTTCTGTTTCGGGCTTCGGTTTGGCGGCCAGTTCTTGCAACTTCGCCGAGAGTCTGGCGGTGCGGGCATCGTGGGCGGGACCGAAAACAGTCGCTCGAAGGGCGCGACGGTTCTTCTTCACAACAGTCGCTCTTGCTGACTTAGCCATGGCTGCAGAAGGCGAATGAAAGGCAAGAAAGAAGTGGCGGCAAGTAGCACAAGTGAGGGAACCGTGAATGTCGAGTGAAGAAATTCTGTAGCGCAGCCGGAGTAATGCCGATTCGCTGGCCGGGCTCAGCGACTGCGACTCTTGACAAGGGCAGCAACATCACGTCTCAGGGTTTTTGGCAGCGGCAGTGTTCTTCACTGCGTGCAATCGAGTTTCAACCTCACTCCCATCGCACACCCCGCCCGTCGGTCTCATCCCCCTATTGTCCACGCTCTCGGAAAGACAGTGGCGGCTTGACCTTCTCATGACCGTGGGTTGACCGGCCCTACTCGATCCCCTCAGTCGCCATGTTCCAACAACGACGCCAGAGATAGCCTCACTGTGGACTCGGCGACTTCAACTGTTTGGTCACCTGTCACAGAGAATTGAGAACACGCGCCTCCACCATGTCGGGCTACCCAGATACGCAGGCGCATGACGATGTGCGAGCCATGATTGCCTCAGTCAAAACCCTCACTGTAGAGAAACTGAAAAATATTCTTCGAGCCGAGAGTCTCCCTTTGTCTGGAGTCAAGAGCGAGTTGCAAATCAGGATAATAGCCCGTAGGTCCAACGGCTCCCGAACTCTCAATCGTATCTTCTTTCCTTTCCCACGCCCTGACATTCACATGAACAGATATCGAGAAACTGCGCAATGGCGGTGACGTTTCGGGCGTGAATCGAATACGAGCGCACATCAGAAGCGGCTCTCATTCCTACAGCAATAGCGGTTCTTTCCCTTCACCTTATTCTCGACACACGCCGACCTCCTCGGCGTCTCCGTCGTTCTCTTCTCCTACCGCTCACAATTCCTTCAACATGTCCTCGAATTCACACTACGGCTCTGGTATGGATTATGCATCTGGTGACAGGGAGGGTGTGCTCTGACGGGAAAGCAGGTCGAATAACGTTCAAGCCCTCGCCATTTTACACGATCACGAGATCGCTCACCCAGATTCACCGATGCGGTCGTGAGTTCTGCTTCCCCTTCGCGTTACGGGACAGTTCGGCTGACCAGGCTTAGCACAAGAAGGGTCCAGAGAGACCGCCAGACTCGCAGTCATGCTATCACAGGACGTCATTGACAAGCTTAACAACGACCAATCATGCCGGATCATGGTTTTCTGTGCCGCAGAACCTGTCGGTCCTTACAACAGAGACCCGTCCGATATTGCCTTTCCCCATAATGTGGAGCTGAAGTGCAATGGAGATGATGTCAGGACGAATTTACGGGGACTCAAGAATCGGCCGGGGTCGACCAGACCTGCAGATATCACGTCTCTGGTGAGGACTAAACCGCCCAACTATCCCAACTCGGTCGAGATGGTCTACGCGTTGACTACCAAGGTGAGCCAGTATTTCAGCCAGCCCTATTTAATGTGTTTCCGATCCCGCATCGTGGGAATATTCGTGCTGAACATGCCACACGGACTGCGCAGGCATTCTACCTCGTGGTCAATCTTGTCTCCAGAAAGTCGATCGATGCGTTGGTGGGCCAAATAAGGCTCGGCCGAATGATCAGCAAAGAACAGGTCATTCGAGAGAGTAGGCACTCTGTCCCCTACCTTGGCTCTGACACTTACGAGGGACAGTGCGACGCAAGGCCGAAGACCCGGACGAGATCGTAGCGACCTCGACAGTCCTGTCACTAAAGGATCCTGTGGGTTACACACGTATCACAACACCCTGCCGCGGAATTGGCTGCAGCCACGTGCAGTGTTTCGATGCGGCCTGTTACCTACAGCTCCAGGAACAGGCGCCAACCTGGATGTGTCCGATTTGCAACAAAGCTGCTCCATGGGACTCATTGGCTCTGGACCAGTATGTTAATGACATATTGAATCTGACGCCGAGAGACGTCGAAGCAGTCACTCTCGAGCCCAATGGCGCCTGGCATCTTTCGAGTCAAACCGATAACGCTGGTGGTCGGACGTCCAATCCCACGCCTTCAGACGACGAGGACGACGATGATCTTGTTGAGATTGGCGACGGCGGGGGTTACCGCCCACAGAAGCTCGAGACGCTGACGCCGCACAGTGTCAGGACACCACCGTTATCCTCCAGAGAAGAATCCACAGCGCCTTCAGCATCAAGACCGTCAACAAACAGCAACAAGAGATCGCGAGATGTCATTGACTTGACATTGAGCGATGACGAGGACGGCAGACCGGCACCGAAAGCCCGGAGGACCGAGTCGGTCTCGTCAGACCGGGTGATTTCTTCGTCAAGAGCACGGCCTCCTGCCTCATCAGACCGGTATCATTTTAATCTGCCTCCTCCTCCTGGGCCACCTCCTTACAACCTTGACAGGTTCAATCCGGCCTTATGATTTTATGGATTTCGATCAGACAATGTGTTCTTCGACTTTCAGCATGGCGCTTGGAAAAAGTGGTAAATTTGGCGGCTTCTTGCGGATTTTCAGAGAAACACTCGGACGAGGAAGGGGCTGTGGTGAGTGCCGGCATCTTCCTTGAGCCAGGCAGGAGTGTATGCATACGACAGTGCGGAGCCCTGCTGAGGGTCCATAACGCCGACATGCACAGGCTCAAATGGGCTGCTTCACGACTGACGAATCTCTTAATGCAAGAGGGGAGTTCACTTCCTCCAACGCTCAAGAGTTGCAAAACACAAGCTAGAGCTGAGGGACATGGCAAGGTCAGCACCAGCCATGCATGAACGATTATGTGTGTATATGTTTGCTACAGTAGAGAGCAGTCTACACACACAGGACATTTGAACATTAGTCCACGGAAAGCAGCTTCTGTGCAACAGGGGATCTACGCTTGTTCTTCAGCCAGTCGGTCTGCCCATACGTGATAACTGGACATTTTCTCGCTACGAACAGCTGCTTTCCCTTGGTGTGCATAACGATGACCTCTTTTTAGACTGAGCCTGTGGCACGAATGGTGAGGATGAAGCGTCTGAACTGGCTCAAGAGGTACCAGACAGACGTGCTCGACATGCCAGAAGTTGACTCCATGTTTGGGGGGACTGCCTCATGTGGATCCCGATCTGCGGACAAACTCCAGTCCACCATGGCCGTGTTTCATTTCCTCACAAGCACGGCCACGACACACCACCTCTTCGCCGCATCTGGGGCTTCCCCTGATCTCACGGGCTCCCAAGGGCGCCGGAGCCCATTCACATCGATCTCGAATATCTCCGCTAGCCGAAGAGGGCATCGCACTTCGTCCAGGTCTGTGTCCTTGGTCACTCCACTCTTCGTTTCCTTAAACCCACTTCCATCCTCCAACGATGATGGCGGAGCAGATTGGCCGGTAGCGACTTCGAAGAAATGTCTCACGATTTCCCTTCCGGTGTGGAACCCCGCCACGACCAATGCACAACTTCCGGGCCTCGACTCGTCGAGGTACTGCACGATTGTTTTCACCAGGTTGACGTGCTGAAAGGGCATCCAGAGACAATCTGCGACAATTATGCGGTCAAAGGCGCGGGGCTGCCGTGGCGACCGCTTGCCGTAGGATGAGGGGGAGTAGAATGTCGTAGTCCCCCACGTATACCCGGAGATGTTGACGTCGGGTGACGGTAGCGATGAGGAGGAAGTGGAAGAAGACGAGAAGGTGTGATTATCAGTTCCCCTGCGCTTATCGCGCTCCAAGATATTAATCTTGACGTTCTGCTCAATGGCACTGGTTGTCAAAGCCGGTGAGGAAGGGTGGTCTGTTATCGTGGTCGAGGCAGCTCCCGACAGCGCGGCCACGATACTTGGGAGTGCTGTTCCTAGACACGGCCGGCGAGGTCAATGTCAGCGACATCCCGCCCCCACGTGTGTCAAAAGATGGTGGGTTGGTGGCTGGTGGCTGGTGACATACGCGCCGCGGCGAGCGTTCTTCACACGGTTCTCACGTACCGGCGCCCACCTCCAAGACCGTCCGGCCTCGGACGTCCCAATACCGCTTGTCCCACGCACTTGCTGGGTGTTCCAGTCCCGAGTTCGAACCGTGGGAAGGGGGCGTCTCATCGTCTTGACTCGCCTCCTCGAGTGCGTCCGCGCAGATCACCCCCGCGTTCCACAGGTGGTGCGCGAAAAGTTTCCTCCCCTCCTCGGCGTCCGGGTGTCGAGGAATGCGCAGTTGAAGGTCGCCGAATCGGCGGCTGTGGTAGATGACGTGTGAGCCCGGTGTGCCGTGCGAGTTCTGTACGTCGTCCGTGGACCGGCAGGAGGCGGTCGACGTGAAGGTGTCTTCGATCTGAGGAATCGCGGAAGGGGGCGTCGTTATGCGGGAGGCGAACATTCTGCTGCTGCCCTGCTTCCGCGCTGCCGGGCTGCCTGCTTGGTCGTGGGAATGGGATGGATTACCCCCGGTCGCGTGCGCGCCTTGCAGGCCGCGGTTTCGAGGGGAACAGCCCCTGTGGACTGGGCTGATCAGGATTGGCTCATCTGTTGTCTCTCTCCGAGGTGGGAGGGTGGGAAGTAAAAGTGACGCCCACGAGGCTGAACTGCGGGGTCGATCTTTTTGTTGATAAGATTAGATCCGTTCGGGACGAGGCTCTGTTCAAGATTGTTTCGTCAATTATCGATCGACCAGTGTGATTAACATACCCGGACTGTCAATAGTCGAGCTGAAGTGTTCTGAGTTCACCGATTACAACATATATACCCGTCCGTGCAATTAGAGTAGGTTCGCGGTTCACGCCTGAAGATGCCGGAGGTGTCACATCCCACCCACCTTGAACCCAGCGAACTCGGGACGAAGGAGTAGTAAGTGCGTGTGTCCCTTGTGCCCTCGGAGCCATTATCTCGTGCGACTGACACCTTCGACGACAGCTGGGACGAATACTATGAGCGAGATTTGGATGGCGACGAGGCAGATGAAGATGAAGATGAAGACGAAGGTAACAGAGAGGCCAACCCCGAAGAACCGCCCGATCCATCGGAATTAGACTCCTGGTTCGACGACGTCGGCGCCCCAGCTAAGACACTCGCGTTCCTCACATCAACCACCTTTCCGCTGTCGCCCAACTATTCTGGGCGAAAGAGCGACGAACCAGACCGACTGGACAATACCTCCCCTGCAGTCCTGGATCTCGGCACGGGGAACGGCAGCGCGCTCTTCTCCCTCCATCTTCAAGGAGGATACACTACCGCTCGCATGGTAGGCGTCGACTACTCGCGCCGGAGCATCGAGCTGGCGGAAAAGCTGCGTCTGCAATACGCGGCACACCGTACACAAGGGACCTCGAGTGCAAGCGCAACCGCAACCGCAACTGCAACCACGCTAGGAAACATCGCCTTCTACACCTTCGACGTCATCAACGAGGATCCGAAAGTTCAAACATGGTGGCCGCGCAGCGACGGCGAATCCGACTCCCGTACGGACCTGATCAGGAGGAATCCAGGCTTCGACCTCGTCCTCGACAAGGGAACCTTCGACGCCATCTCGCTCTCCTCGGACCGGGCCGTGGATCCAAACACCGGCCTGGAGCGACGGATCTGCGAGCTCTACCCGGCCAAAGTCCTCGACATGACGAGACCGGGCGGGTTTTTACTCCTCACCAGCTGCAACTGGACGGAGTCGGAGGTTATTTCGTGGTTCACGGGCTACGTGTCTGGTCGCTTGGAGGGCGGGAACAATGATGATGCCCAGCAGGAGCAGCAGCAGCAGCGGTGGGGGGACACGTCCGCCAGGTTTGAGGTCTACGATACGATCAAGTATCCGGTCTTTGAATTTGGCGGGCAGAAAGGCCAGGGCGTCGCGACTGTGTGTTTCAGGAAGGTGCTGGGAAGTGAAGAACCCGGAGCTTAGGACGTAGTATGTCATATGTCGTATGATGTAGTACGTGGCTATATGTGCTACGTGCTACGTGCTACGTGCTGGGTACCTACTCGGAACTCAGGTGGCAGACAAGGTCTAGGCTGGACGGTGGTGGACCAACCGAGCCGGAACGATCGTCTGGATTAACAGATGGGAGGATACTGCCTCTCCGTTCCCTTCCCATTCTGAAGGGAACACATGTTCATGGCCGATGGAAGTGTTTATCGTTTGAGAGGATGCGAGCACCTGAATGCTGCCTTGTTAGGTCGCGCCTTCGGAGACTTGACAGCACAAGAGACACGACGAATTCAATGGCCTTTGTTGTATCGGTAAGAACTGAACTGGACAGGACGGAATCTATCAGAGTACCATTTCAAGCCAGGCTACGACGACTTGGATACAGTAAAGTACAGCATGAGATAACTCCTATTTTTTTGGGTTCTCCCAATCAGGATGCTTCGGCCTGTCCTTGTCTGCCCTCCTCTGTCTGTTTACTGATTTTTACCATACCTTGAATCGCAAACCCCTCTTCCCTGTCTTTGTCGTCGAGTTGGTATTAGCCGCAGTCGTGGCACCCGCGAACCTTGCACTTCCGCTGGCACTCTTCAACTGATACACATTCAATCTGCTGCCCGCACCACAGTTCTGCACCGGGTTGCCCGCGCAAGTGACGTTGCAGCCGGCCTCGCCCTGGGGGGCCAACACCGCCGAGTTGATCGGTCCCGCGGCGTTGCAGAAACACAGGTTGCCATTCTCCACGCCCATCCAGTTATAGCCCTTGGCGAAGCAGAACGCCGCGCAAGCCTCGACGGTCAGAGACGCCGACGCCGGCGTGGCCGCCGAGCCGGTCTTGTCTGTGGGGCCGAGGGCCCGCGCGCCAACTCCCTCCGTGTAGCAGCCGACATAGCCGTACTGGCTGCCCGGCTGGTTCGGCACGTTGACCGGGTTGGGATTGTACGGCTTGATGTACCGCGTGTTGTTGTACAGGCTGATTGCGTTGGAGCCGCCGCAAGTCTGGGCCGAATTGCCCGCACACTTCATGCTGCATTTGGTAGACGCGATGGGCGTGGATGCCGGATTGAGCACGCTCCCCGCCAGGCACTGCGACGCGTACTCGAGGCCGAAGTACTGAAGGTTGAGGGCCTGGGCCTTTTGCGCACACAGGTCGACGGACATTGTCGAGCCAGAGGAGTACAGCCCAGTGAGGGCGCGTGGGTTGCCGGTCTCGCCGTAGCAGCCTAGGTAGGCGACGTTGGTCGCCGCGGGGATGGCGCTCGCCGTGGGGGAGGAGGAGCCGCCGCCTGAGGTGCCTGTGCCCGTACCCGTGCCGGAGCTGCCAGCATTGGCCTTGTACGTGTCAAGAGACCAGACCGACAGACGGGAGCCTGCACCGCAGAGTTCGGTGTTGTCGCCTTTGCAGGAGAACGAACAGTCGGATTGCGAGGTCGTCGCGGTCATGGTGCTGTTGCCGCAATAGCATTCTGGGAGAAAAGGTAGGTTAGGACAGGAAACGGACAGTGGGCAGAAATAACTTACCTTGAGAATACTCGGTACCGAAAAACGCAGACTGGCTCAGCGAGCAGAACGCCGCGCACATCTCGAGCGTCATGCCCGTGGTGTTGGAGAAGGAAGGTCCCTGGAGCGCTCGGCTGCCGACACCTTCCAGGTAACAGCCAGCATAAGTGGCGGTTCCACCGTTGTTCGGCACTGTCAACGTGGTCTGGCCAGGCACGGGGATACCCTTGGGAGTGGGACCGGTGTAAGAAGTGTCATTCCACACCTGCATGAGTTGCTGGCCACCGCAAAACTTGAAGGTGTCGCCGCTGCAGGTCATATAGTTCTGCTGCGAGCAATTGAGCGGAGACTGGATCGGCTGCTGCAGGGTTCCTGCGCAGTAGCATTGGCTTGCAAATTCCAGGCCAGCGTAGAAATAGCCCTTTTGCTTGCAATAAGCTGTGCAGCTCTCGATCGTCATGCCCGTTTGACTGCTGTATGACGCAGCTGACAGGGGTCGAGGGTTGCCGGCATCGAAAGCACAGCCCATGTACTGCCAAGCGCCTATTTTATCCCCGGGTTTGGCCACGGAGCGGCTCTTGTAGTCTTGGTTGGCAATGTAGTTGAGCTGGGGCTGTACAGGGCAGATGTTTTGAGTAGCTCGAATTGGACCTCCAGTTGGGGGATTGCAGCCGGGCAGAACCTTCAGCAAACCGTGGACGGTTTCGTTGACGATCGGGGCTTGTTCGAGACAGTTCTGGCTGAAGTATGGATCGACCGAAGCCTGAAGCGGTGGGCAGAGACCGATCTGCCCATTGTTGGTGGCGCCAGGACCCATGCACTGATCAATAGCCGCGTCAAGGACATCGGGATCCCAGCCGTTGAGGAAATCGCCGTGAAAGCCATAGCCTGTTGTGTCGCCTTGTGCGAAGACGAACATGCCACCGCCAGACTGATCAACGCTGTTGACGGAATAGATGACTTCGAAGAACAGATGAGGAAGGAGGACGGGATGGGTTGGGGGACAGATGCCATTGTCAATGCCAGAGAGGTATGCGACGTGGGATTGGTCGGTCTTGTACAGGTTGACGCCATCCCAGCAGCTCTGGAAGTGGATCTGGGCTCGAAGGCCGGAGTCGCATCTGGTGGACTTGAAGCCTGGGGTTTCCGGTTGCGGGCCGCTGCTGTCCAGGCAGGCAAAGCTGGCACGGTTGCCCATCGGCTGGCCGCCATATGACTTGTTGCCGTACGTCAAGGTCTTATCATACGACCGGGCAGCCGCGTCACCCGAAAGCATGCGAAAGCCCTTCGGGAAGCTTTGCATATTGGCTACATCGACACCACGATCCAGATAGTATACCACAGTGCCGTCGTGGGGGACTTCCTGGTACGACCCATTACGGTATCTGTAGTACAGGTTCGGGGTCCAGTAGGCACTCTTGTCCTTCTGGATGCTGCAGGAAGTGCAGTAGGCGGCCTGAAGGCTGTCGAAGGTCGACGTGGTGTTGATGTTGTTCGGTCCGGCAATGGTGTGACAATGACCGGAGATACCACCAGGATTAACGATCGGATCGATCCTGCCTACTTGGACAGTGCTGCAGACCATACGCCAGAAGGCATCGACATGGCCAAAAGCCAAGCTGAGCACTATGGTCAGAAAGGCACCGTGGAAGTTCCTCATCTTGATCGCGGATGATAGACCTCACGCAACGAAAAAGGCCAGCCTGGGGAACAGGACCTGGAAGAAGTCGGGCAGTGGCTCCCTCTTGCTCTTTCAAGTCATGTGCGAAGAACTCATTCCGCTGCTTTGGGATGTACACCGGCCGCAAAAGGCTGATCAAGGCATTGTTCGATGAGGAGGCCGAAGACATGGTGCTAGGAACCTATGAGAGGGCAGCGAGCGCAGACAGCAGCTGATCAGGGAAGACCCGGAACAAAGACGCATGTTGAACATTCGCAAGCAGCCAGATGCACGTGGTAGGAGGAAACGCAGAGAGACAATACGACCGGATAATACCTTTGTTTGCGGCAGCGAGGTCTGGATCGTGTGACCAGCGTTGTGAAAGAAATGGTACCCAGTTGTCGGAAGTGGTCCGCGTCAGTTCGTGGGGAAGAGCCATAACCCTGCCAGTCCGAAAACAGCAGATGGGATGGAGGAGCAGCAAAGCATTGACATGTACTCCGTAGAGGAGCAAGCCCAGATCAGGCAAAGAATGTGCGTCGGGCGCAGCCTTGCAGCATGCAGCCTTGTGACGGAACATGGCCCGGGCACCAACCTTCCGGTTTCGGCTCTAGCGCGTCACTTTCGCGTCTTCGCCGTTTCCAACGCGTCTACTGGGTAGGTGGGGCTCCTTCGAAGCACCAAACCAAACTCGGCCAGCTCATCCCTCAAATTGCGCCTCCTTATCGATTTGCCGCACGCTCACCAGTCTTGGGTTGGCTCAATTGTGCATTGTCGGCTTGGACCAGGATTGCGATAACAAATCTCCGGCGCCAATCGATACTGTGGACTTATCCAGTAGCGGTGATCGCTGCATGAGCGTTGGATCTCGCAGTGCTAGAGTTCAACCTGCCATCGGCGACATGACCATGCTGTGTACCTACATAGTGCTTCAAGCCCGCGATCACAGGCAACATGTTCGGTCCAAGGCCAGGAACCAAGTACGAGTACTCCGTACACAGTCACGACAGCACACAGCCCCAAGTACCCGGTAGGGAGGGACCAGAGAAATCACGCGTAAGGGAGCTCTCAAGTTGCGACTGATGCGGCTTAGTGACGGAGTCAGATGACGAAGGAGGCTTGACGCGTTTCCCTAGACCGGAATTCCCAACGCCGGCAGCTTGTCTCACCCTCCGTCCCTCGAAGGTCGGAGCTCGAAGCTCGAAGCTCGAAGCTCGACGCTCCCCTGGCGTTAGACTAGTCGAACTGTGCTTCGGGCCTTTCCCTTTGGCTTTGACAGCGGCCGCCCACCTCCCTCCCGGCGCATTCTTGTAGATCCTCCCGCATTCTTCTCGCCTGCAGCTTTCCGTCTCACACCGCCAGCAAACCACCTCGTCGAATTACAGTGTCATCAAATGCTACATCCCCAGCTCCAGTACTCCTTGCACACCTCCTGGAACTTGCGCCTCCTCTTTCCCCCGTTGCCGCGCCTGCTCGCGCGTCGTTGACAGCCCCGGCGCATCGACATAACCTCACGAATCAATACGCGAAAACCCGAAGCGCACCGACCATGTTACTGCCCTCCGCATTCTCGTGCGACGGTGGTGGCCTGCATCCTCAATCGAGGCCACCCCGACCCAAGCTCCCATCTTTCGGTGCATACCAACCACAATTGTCAATCACCGCGCAGCCACATCCGCTCTCGTCGAGTTGTCGCGCGCTTCAAGCAATCCTAGGCGCGCCAGCCACAATCCAGCATACGGCGTCAAACCCGCCTCGAGTGCTCTCCAATCCTTTTGCGCCCTCAGAAGAGCGCGTGTTATTAGAGAGGGAAGAACCGCGACCACTACGAGGCGCAAACAAGAGAAGGCGGAGCGAGTTTGAGGACGTGAGCTCAGACATCGTCATGGAAGACTGCCAGCGCACACCAGAGCCGGTCCGAACGCCAAAGAGGCGGCGGAGGGTGCCCTTGTCAATGCCGCTTGGCTTGTCAGCGGACGATTTTCGCGCACTGGAAACCCCGGCCGAGGAGGTAGAACTCGACATGCCCACCACCAGTCCCCATACCCGCCACTCGGACGAGGATTCGGCGTATGGGTCGTCTCCTTCACCGGACGACGTCGCGTGGACCGAGGCCGATGACCGTGTATTGGTTGAGACGGTGCTCGAAAAGCTCAAGCTATCGAAGCGTGATTGGAATGATTGTGCGAAAATACTGGGCAAGGACAGAGATAGTCTTGAAAGACGTTGGACTTTGCTGGTGGGAGAGGGCAACGTTGGATTGAGAAGAGGTGGAAGAATCTCAAGGACAAATTTGGACATTTCGAGTTGGTGATGGCACTGCCTGCCATCCACTGGCCAGCGAATCTTCCTGGCATCATTCATGCTTGTATAAATAGCTTCTTCGGCTAGTTCCAGCGAACTGCCACTTCACGGCATATCATGGTTGTTACATGCCTGAACCTCAAAAGTCGCTTGCTCGTTCTTGACGTCCAAGTCTGAAATGCCTACAAGCATTCCGCGGCCTAGGCCAAGTGATGCTCCGGGTCTGCTCGGATCCGGGTCCATGCTATGGCCTTCTGTTCTGGCCGAATCCATGGCCGAGCACGGTAGCCACTCGAGCCACCCGTTCGCCCGAGGTGACGGAGCCTAAGACCATGGTCGCCCAGGATGTGGGCCCTGATGCCGGCCATGCTCGGGCTGACCATCGCCAAATCCGGACTTACCGGTTTGGATCGCTGCACTTGAGCACATTGCAGACCAACATCTTTGGCTGGTCATGTCCGCTGGTAGCACGGCTCCTTCAAAATCGTATCTCATAGCTTCCCGCCTTGGTCATGTAGCGGACCCATTTGACACTGCTGTAGTTGTTCTTTTCGAAAACCTTCAAGTAGCGCACCAGGAGTCCGGAGCTGGTAAACATGAGCAGAGAGAAGTTCATGCTCAAGGGAGGTCGTGACCAGGCTTTTTGATTCGTCATGCTGGTGAGATGAGCTTCGGCGCTGAGGACGAATTCACTGCCCCCGACGAATCGTGCGATTTTCCACACGATGCAATTGCTTTCCGGTTCGTACTTGGCCTTTCCTTGCGTGGTCCTTTCTGTAATGTTCGCCGTGTTCAAGGGTGTCGGGATCCTCACCACGACATTGGTCGCGAACAGCTTGCTTCCATAGTTGGCTTTGACGGCAATACTGTATTCGACCTTGGTAGTGCCCACTTCGCGAACAATGGCATGAACCTTGAACGGGAGGTTGACATTCTCAACGGCTCGATAGCGCATCAGTTCAAATTCCCCGTCTGGCGGGACGAAAGAGATCGTCCTATCCGTCTCGAACTTGCCGAGCTGGACGCATTGGTGAAATTGGCAATCCTCCAAGGTGACAGAGCCAGCCGCAGCTCGAGTGGCCTTTCGTCTCGTGTCGGAATTTCCAGCGGGCCCATCCATGCCTGATGCGATATGGCCCACGACCAGTTGGTCGTTGAGACCGAATTTGCATTCTGGTGTGCCGCTGAGATATGCCCTCATGACAATCTGACCCGTGACATCCGCGCGCAGGACCGTCCCCGTGGCACTCATGAGCAGATTGACGTCCTCGATCACGTCTACAAACGCCTCATTCTTTCGGTATTTGATGTCTCCTCTCCGCCACGACTGTGCCCCCGTCGCCTGCATCGTGATCTTTGAGGTGTCGGCTGCAGGTGCGGAGACGGATCGGATGGCGGATGAGATGTTGTCAGGAGTAATGTACAGCTTGAGGACGTCGATGTCGGTATTTTGAGGGTAGCCAAAGTCGAGGATTTCTGTAAGGGCGTTAGAGAGTTTATCAGCGCGTCCTTGTCGTCGTTACCGTCTAGTAGCTCGTATATGAGCACAAAATTGTTCTTGACGGCTTCTTCATCAAACTTGCCGAAGTACTGCTTTCCCAGTGCAATAAATCGGTAGACGAACTCGAAAATCACGGCGGCATTGGCGTTGCTTTTTGTGACAGCCACGATATAGATGTTCTCGTGCTTGACATGGCTGAACGTGGTCGAGCCCAGGGTAAGAATGGGCGATCTGACCTGCGCATTGGAAATCACTTGGATGCGGAAGATGTCTGCCAGTCGCGGCCGACAGTCAGGACGAAAAGCCCGGAAGATGAGGTTCTCGCCCTTTTGGTTGAAGAGCAGTATGCCGCTCAACATCTTGCACACTGTCCAGGGCCTTAGCGGCCGGCACAAAGGAATGGTTGTCTGTGGTCGACATTGCGAAGTGAGATGGAGGCGCGGAGAGCCGTAACGTCCATACGACATCGGAATCCGGAGTCTGTATTTTTCCGGCCCTGGTCTTTGCGGCCATGCAGCGGCGAGGCAGTGAGCACTCGATCAAGATCAATGCTATTGTAGTTGTGCTCAAATTACTCTATATTTGTTCACATCTTGTGACGACAAAGCCTTCCCTATCATGCGCCTTCTCTATCAAGATGATGATACATATGTCATTCCGCTGTCCATTCCTTTCATCGTAGCCAAGTCTAGTGTCTGCTGATGCTCGCTAGGGTATAACATAAATGCCCGCAATCGCCCGCAAATGCTCACAAATCATGCTATGCATCCAGAAATTTAGTACACGTAGGGTGGCGGAGCGAAAAGCGATTGCTCCTCAACAAGTCCCAGGAGTGGGTCGAAGGTGCGACGGCTTATCATCGAATCTGCCTGCGTAGCACCAAGTGCGACCGGCAGACTGAAGTTGGCGATAAGTGGACTCCTCAACGAACCGTTTTCGCTGGCCTCAATCTTCATGCTGAGATTGAGTGTGTGGTTGATATCCAGGATGTCCGTGGAGATGGTCGGAGTCAGGATGGATTCGGGCAGCAGGAGATCCAGCTCGACTGTGGTTGTGTATTTCGAGCTTTCGGCGCTGGACTCGTACAGCGGTGGCAGGGAAACAGCGTAGTTTTGAGTTGAGACCCGATCGCTGTGGACAGTAGATTCCACGGCAGAATAACCGGTGGTGAAGGTCCTCCTCGTTAACCACTGCGCCTTTACGGAGAGTTTCAGGTGTTCGTTTTCCAAGAGGGTTTGCGCCTGCCGCCGAACGTTTGACGGCCGCGAGACGTTGACAAAGACGGGCACCGTGAGCCGTCGGCAGCCGGTGGATACAGTCGAGGCGTCAGAAACGATGCATCCAAGCATCTTTGGCACCTCGACCGAAAGTCCTGGCTGCGACTGGGACCCGAGGAATCTGTTCAGGGACCGCAGTTGCGGTTTTGCAACTTCCTCGACTTTGTCGGATGTACCTGAGGATGTCACCTCGACATCCAGAGGAGCCAGGCTCGATGGGATGTCGACCGGACAACTGATCCTGCGTACCAACTGATTTGTCTCCGATCGCAGGAACTCAGCCTCGAGAGTATAAAGCACCTCGCAGGAGCCTTCCAACAGTTCTCTGTTCGTCAGCGCTGTAACTTTGGTGAGAAATGTGGTGCCGGACAGCGTCATTGAAGGTACGAATGCTTCCGGAGCCCCGTCTCTGGGCGTCGGAACAGCACATGTAAATTCCAGATATTGTTCTTCGGTCCGCTGTCGAGTGGCGGAATACACGGGCTTGAAATCGAGGTGTGTTTTGGTAACGCTGGTGGCAGGAATCTTCTCCACCGCAACCTGCGACCCTATCTTGGTGCGAATTGCGCCCTGTAGCCGAACGCGGACTGTGTCGAAAGAGCCATCTTGATTAAAGACAGTAACCCGTCCATGCAAACTCAAAGTCGACCGAGAATACACTTTCTTGTCATCACGCGACCCGGACGCCGCCGCCACAGACACACCCAGGACTTTGATCGTAGGGATAGACATGGTGTCCCGTGGGAGTTGATGGTGAGCGTGCTGGGACACGTCCTTTACTCGTTGCAGTTATCTTCACTTGCAAGTCTGTTGACACGTCAAGGAAAAGCGCGGCTGTGTTTATATATGAGGTGTGTGGTTTGTTGGGACTGCAGATCACAGAAACGGGGTTGTTTCAAGGAGAAGGGAGTTTGACGCCTTGATGCCCAAGACTCATTCTCACCGTACCAACCGCCTCACTTTATATTTGACTTACACGCCCTGACGCCCAACATGAAATGCGCATCCCTGTCTGATTGGAATCCACTTGCTAAGCAACAGTGAGAAAAAGGGAATCACTCTGGCATCATGTCAAATTGTGCCCGCCGCCCGAGAAAATCGCAGGGAAGTCCTCGGGAATTGACGGCGACGGGATTTAGTTCCATCGCGCGAAGCTGCTATTTCGGGAAAAGAACAGCGAGGGAGAGAAAGTCCGCCAAGGCCGCGTTCAAGCAGCAAGCGCTGCTCTACAGAAGGACCGGGCCCGGCGGTAATTTCCGCTTACGGCATTCAACAGCGACTGCGGAATTCGTTTCCTCACCTACAGTCGTTCTTCCAGTCATCAATAGCCAGAGAGCCATTAACAATCACATCGCAGCCTTGCGAACGACAAGGCGTATCCGATGTCCTCAGCATGGAGTTCTCCTTCCGACACTCAATGGCTGGCACGCCATTAGCAATTACAATGCAGTGTGCGGATTCGATTCCCTAACTCAGCAGTCGTCCCCGCCAATGCCAGTGGCCGCCGATGGACTAGTAGGTATATCGACGCATTTCGAGCAGGGACAGCGGGTGTCTGAAGACCGGCAATCCCGCAGCACGTCATTATGTCTGCTCCGTCGAAGCTAGAGCGCCTTGAAGGGGGTTTGGAGGCCATATATCTACTGACGTGAACCTCAGACAGTTGAAAATCAAGAGGGCAACTAAAGCACGACGAACTACAGAACCCAAGAATACCATCCCTTCCACAGCAAGAGATATAGCAATGGCAGCGACTGCAGGCCCTGTCTACACCACCTCCAACGGCCGTCCAGTCACCTTTGCGACTGCCTCCCAGACAGTCGGCCCTCATGGACCCATCCTGTTGCAAGACTTCCATCTCATCGACCTCCTCGCACATTTTGATAGAGAACGTATTCCCGAGCGTGTAGTCCACGCAAAGGGTGCAGGTGCATTTGGGGAGTTTGTGGTCACCCATGACATTACCGACCTGGTACATCCCATTGCTCCTCGACCAGGGGTTCATCTACTGACGCACCTCTCAGACGTCCGCCGATCTATTCAGTCACATAGGCAAGAAGACGAACGTCGCCGTCCGCATCTCCACGGTTGGTGGCGAGAAGGGCTCCGCTGACTCGGCCCGTGATCCTCGGGGCTTCTCGATCAAATTCTACACAGAGGAGGGCAACTGGGACATGGTCGGCAACCACACTCCCATCTTCTTCATCCGCGACGGCGTCAAATTTCCCACCTTTATCCATACCCAAAAGCGTAACCCCCGCAACAATCTCAAAGATGCAACCATGTTCTGGGACTTCTTGTCCAGCAACCAAGAATCTGTTCACCAGGTGATTCAGCTGTTCAGCGATCGGGGTACACCTCGGACGTTCCGCCATTGCGACACTTTCTCAGTAAGTATATCTCCTGCCTCTAGAAGAATGAACGCGCAGCAGAAGCTGACAACCGCTCGCAGGGCCACACCTTCAAATTCACCAAAACCGACGGCACGTTCAAGTACGTCAAGTTCCACGTCAAATCGGACCAAGGCCATGCCGACATGACGAACGAAGAGGCGGTGGCACTCACCGCTAGCAATCCCGACTATGCGACAGAGGACCTGTTCAATGCCATCGAACGGGGCGAGTTCCCAAGCTGGACACTGTATGTCCAAGTGCTGGACCCCAAGGACGCCGAAAAGTTCAGGTGGAACATCCTCGATATCACAAAGGTCTGGCCTCATTCTGAAATCCCTCTTCGCCCTGTCGGCAAGATGACGTTGAACCGCAACCCAGAGAACTACTTCGCCGAAGTTGAACAGCTAGCCTTCTCCCCGGGGCATCTGGTTCCTGGGATCGAACCCTCGGCCGATCCGATGCTCCAAGCCCGCCTTTTCTCCTACTCGGACACGCACCGCCACCGCCTGGGGGTGAACTACCAACAAATCCCAGTGAACCGCCCTTTGCATGCCTACGCGCCGTTCCAGCGTGATGGCGCCATGTCGGTCGCGTACCAGAACTACGGCGCCCACCCGAACTACCCCTCTCCTCTGAAGCCCAACACCTATCTACCCGTCGACCAGCCCATTGACGCCGCCCATGAAACCTGGATCGGCCAAGCGGTCCACAACTTGCAGCCTGTCACGGATGAGGATTTCGTGCAACCAAATATGCTTTGGGAAGTACTGGGCAAGACGGAGGGCCAGCAAGAGCACTTGGTGCACAACATCAGTGTCCACCTGTTCGCAGCCGTCAAGGAGGTGCGGGAGCGCACGTATGGCATGTTCGACCGTGTGAATAAGGACCTTGGGGCGCGGGTACGCAGCGAGACGGAGAAAGTGAGGGCAGAGAAAGGGTTGAATCTGGAGCAGTAAGTTTGCTTGGGACGTCCGGCAGTGGCGGCAACGGGGGCAGGGGGGGAACAGAAGCAGCGCAGGCAGCGGAGGCAGCGAACGGGCCAACGAGACTGATGACCAGGCAATGGAATCAACTCGTCGAATCCAAAATATCGTGTAGGAATAGCAAGATTTTAGTATCTTTCTAGAAATCTCAAATCCACAAACGTCTATCCTGTCGTTCCTGATGAACCACAGCAAAACATTGAGTCCTCCACTTATGCGACAGCATTGCCTCCAAATGCGCAAGTGCGAGAAGTAAAGCGAGACCGCGTCCATCACCACGAAGGAGAGCCTCATTTGCAGCTTCACTTTCCGAGCCTCGCCAGCCTTGTCTCCCACCTCTTCTGGCGAATCACAGTCACATATCACGAATCATGAAATCCTACAGGGCCAATCGACCAGTCAGAATCAAGTCCAGTCCAGTCAAGCCCGCTCAAGCCCACTCAAGTCCAGTCAGCACGCATCACCCGGCGTGGTGCGCCGTGCTCCGTCTCGCTCGGTCGCTCGGTCGCGTCTTCCCAAACCAGCCAACCTGGACCTCCATATCGAGCTAAGCCCGTCACCCACCCATTATTGGCCGTGTCAGGCGTGACGGTTGTGACATTGGTGACATTTGTGTACGGAGTACTGTATCTACATACCGTGTACTCGTACGGAGTGTACAAACACATGGCACCTTAGGCACTTTACCCCAGAGGTGATGCACAGCCAATACTCAAGTACCCGGTACAGAAAGCACAGTATGTACCTAGGGCAGGACAGTGCCCGTGCTCCGTACAGCGTGCTCCGTACAGTACAGCGTACAGCGTCATCTCCACAATAGCATCGGGACGGGACTACCTACTGTAATCAACAAGTCAAGACGCACGAGGTGAGACGCAAAGGGTACGAGTCAGACGTGACTAACTAGTTGTACATCAGGTGAGAAAGGGGGAGGGACTTCTTGGTGGGTGGATGTTGCCTTTTTTCACCCATGCACGCTCACGCACGCTCACTCACGCCCCGGGAAACCACCGCCGCCCGTGGACGGATCGAGTTGGAATTTGCAACACAGTACTCCGTAACAGCGTGAGCATCCCGGTCTGGTTGCTGAAGTGGCGAATCATTGATGGTTTACCCAGTCTACTGTACGGAGTACCTAGGCATTACGGAGTACTGTCATCTACTACGGTATAGTATGGTAGGGTAGGGTACAGGTAGGGTGTAAGCAGTACTTACTACACGTACCCATCTACACCGGTATAAACATCTTCCGGCGTCATCCTTGTCATCCGTAGTTAGGTACTCCGTCCTCTCCTCCTGAATGGAGTACGTACTCTGTATATTTACCTCATTCATGCGCGCGAGTGAGTCAGGGTCCAAATACTGTACGAGGTTATTGTGGATGGCACTTTACAAGGGCCATGGTCAAGGCTGTGGTCCAGGCCCTGGGCCGTCACATGGATGTACGAGTACTGTACCCGAACGGTTTGGTTATCAAGGCATCATAATTATATTCCTGGTCATTTTGATTTTAGATCTTCTGTTCCACAGCTCCCGCGAGGGTGCTGCTTTGTAGAGCCTGGTGCTTAGTTTGTGGGGGGAGGAGCATGCATCATACATCATGCATCATACGTCGTACTCGTACTGTACCTCTCGCTGCTTTCAGGGAGAAACGGCACGTCGCGGTTTTTTTTTCTCCTTGTGGTCCATGTCATGAGATCTCTCGGACCTTGGGCTCGTCCTGCCAGCCCCATTGCTCTTTCAGCTCCCTGATCCGAGGAGCGGTCGGGCTGCCGGCCTCCTTGGCGATGTTCGCCAGCAGTTCCAGGACAACGGTCCGATCTTCCTTCTCCTCAAAGCAGGATCCAGCCAGGTAGAGCGAGTGCACCATCTGTCTGCTGACAGCTGGGGGTGGCTTGCCTAGCGCAATGCCGCAGATCTGCCGGCTGTGATGCTCGGATTCTTCGGCCACCTGTCGGAACATCCGGAGTCGGTTTGCTGGATGTCGGGCGTCGTGTTCGTCCACGGGTTGATTCAAGAGGAGCAGGATTTGGGCAAAGTGGTAGAGTTGAAGAGCGGCCGCACACATGGGCACGCTGAAAAACAACCTCGCGAAGCGCGGTCTCCCATCTGGGAGGAGATCTGAGGGGTGTTGCGCCCCGGCGGCAGCGATCGCATAAGGTTGAAAGGTGAACGGCAAATTGTCGTACCAGTCTTCAAGTTGTCGACGTAGTTGGCGCCACCGCGCCACGCGAGTTTGAATGCCGCTGGGCGTGCCTGGCTCTGAAGGAGTAGTCCTGCCGGGTGCTGGGGCAGCAGGACTGTCGAAAGGTCGTGGCGTGCCCGTCGTACTCCCTGCCACATCGTCTTGTGGCGCGATGAAGTTCATCGTCCGGAGAACGATCCATATCAGGGTGCACGACACCAGGTCCTCTCGATCGCCCGGTTGGTAGGACACGATCGCGTTGATGGGCGTCGAGGGATCGTTGTAGTTCAATGTCCCATCGTCCATGACAGGCAGACCTGCAGCTTTCCACATGGTCAAATTATCCGGATCAAGGCGAGTCTTCGAGTGGTTGACGTACGCCGCCAGATAGTCGGCGCGAGCGAAATTCCAGAACGCGGCTCGGCCAGCCTTCATAGATATGAACGGGTCGGCGCGGGGACGAGGTACAGACTGCACCGCCTGTGGCAGGATCTTGCTCTCCAAGAGTGCCTTGAACCCATCAAGATGCCTGGAATCCAAGTGAGCATATTGACACATCTACACGGAGATCCTCCCGACGAAGGCAAGAATCCAAAGGACTTACTGTGACCAGTCGTCTGCAAAGTTATCCAACGACTCGTACAGAGAAAACACGGAGATTGCAGCCACTAAAGCCTCCATGTCCGCACCATCCGAGGGTTGTCCTCGGCTTATACGGCGTCGTTTGTTGGGAGAATTGCTGATGGCACCGCTGTTGCTACTGTCAGAGAGATGTCGTCCCGAGTTATATCTCGATGCGTGCCCCGTTAGCCCTTCGTTGCTTGTATCGCTGAGCCAGCGTTGAAGAAAGATTCTCAAGTACGATATGCCGCGGTCGTAGTAGTTCGCAGCCTTGTAGAACCAGTCCGTGTGTTGCAGCGTACCCCCTTCTCCGACGAACGGTATAAGATGTTGCAGGTCTTCCAACGGCGAGTGATTGGCCATCATCTGACCGATCTGATTTGCTGCCACTGCAGCCATCGCGGATCTCAGCATCACATTCTGCACAGCCTTCAGCGGCACTATCCGACTGAAGTATGTATCGAGGTCGAAAAGATCCATGCTGGTGGCAGTCAGACACACGGTGGCACCGAATCAACGATCGTCAACTCACGATGGTGAAACCGATTGTACAAAATGCCGCGTCAAGCAGGCCAGTTCGGTCGTCTTTTCGTGCAGGTATTTTTGGCTGTACTCGGAGCGGCTGGCCCGGTTCCCTTCAGTGCTAGAGTTCCAAACCGGTTAGCACATACTCGCTGGCTCGCTCTTCGTCCGCAGCACTTACCCATCGTACACGGATGACCTTCCACTGACGGAGCCGAAGTCACTCGTCAGAAAGTCGTCGTCGGTTTCGGGGACATTGGTGTCCGTGAGGATCACCGGGAGACCAGGGATAAAGCCACACGCATTGTTCCCCTTGGAATAATAGGCTTCGATGTCGAGATCGAAATAGTCTTCGTCGACGCTCACGGACGAGTCCAAGTCGGACGGATCATACTGTGGCTTTCCAAGTAGCAACTTGGCCGTCGTCTGTTCCTGATATCCGCCCTGAGCAAATTCTGACGGCGGTTGCGGAGGTGGCGGTGCATATTGGAAATTTGTCGGAGCCGTCACTGGGGGTGACAGACTGGCCTGAGGCTGAGGAGGCGTGCCTGGAAACGGTGTGAAGCTGGGACTCTGCTCATTGAGCACCCCAAAGGCTGGGAATTGTATATTCGGGGCCAACGTCCCGCTAGTCTCAGGCCCCGCTTGTATGCTTGGGAGATGGTGTGCAGAAGAGGTCGGCGGTGATATGATTCGCGGAATGGCCGGAATGCTCGGGGTGAACTTGAAATTCCCTTGGATCGGAGGGAGATTGATTCTTTGTCCAGACACAGCACCTGTCCCGGCACCGGCACCGACACTGGGCGGAGTGGTGACTACCGCCCTAGCAGAGTCCGGGGATTGGAAGTTCCCATCGTACTTTCGTCGAACCTTGACTCCCTCATCGAGGAACTTGCGCTCCAGGTCATAGCCCGTACAGGGTCTTCCTAGCTTCTCGCACCGCAGACAGGCGGGGAGCCTCTTGTCACACTGGTCGAGTGTGAGCGAGCCAAGCACGCAAGGAGAGCTAGTGGGCAAGAATACGGGTTCAGCAGGCGGAGAACCTAGGGGTAGCCTACCTTGACACGACGTTGTCTGCAGGAATTGCAGGCACGATCGGCGTATTCCACACCTGGGAGTCTGTTTTCCATGCGCGGAGATGGCTTCGTCGAAGCTCGCTGTCAGACTGGCTGAGATTCGCGTGGATGAGGTTGGAATTAGGTGGCGCGGAAGCGCAGTCCAGTGGGTGGTACCAGGACGAATCCTACGCGATCCGACACATGTCGCTGGACCCTCCGGTCTCGATGCGATACGTAAGTGGACTGAAATAAGACGCCGTGACAGGATTAGATGTGATTGTGGAAGAGACAGCGAGAGCGAGGGGACGAGATGGCGAGCTGGATCGAGGTGGCAGAAAATGCAGGACCAGAGAGGAAACGCTCTCCGCTAACACCCCGAGCGTTTGGGGCTGCGGGCGCGATTCGGCAAGCTTGATTAGTGGTCGCCGGTCGTCGCGGGAGCGCCTAATTGGCTCGTCTAGGCGACCCTGCTGCACCTCGCTGCTGATCTCCACTGCCGAAGAGGCATACCTTGGGCAGGCTCCGGCACTGAGGGTGCGCTTGGCCGCCCGTACCCAGCATTGCGCGCCTACCACAGAGCACGTGACCAGACCGTCTCGCTCGGCGGCGGCAGCAAACGACAAATGATGACACACCAAGCTGCGCAGGTTTTCGCCGTTTGATCCAAAGCGCCAGCGAAACCACCGTCAGTTCTGCGTCCGACGCTCCGAAGTCGCCGGCTCGAGATCAGTGGAGAGACTCAAAAGTGGTCTGACTCGCCCTCGCCTCCCTGTTCTGGTCTCTTTCTCCTTTCTTCCGTCTCCTCCTGCTCGTCGCCCATGCATCCCCGATCAGGCTAAGACCCGTGGACGTCGTCGTGCGACCTCCCAATGTCAACTCTCACCGTGCAGCGGGTAAGTGAGCCTGACTGGCCCCCGTGGCGGCGTGTCTGCAATGGCAACGGCTCCATCATTGACCATCACAAAGCTGTTCATCTACCCTGTCAAGTCACTCCCACCGGTCCAGGTATCGTCGGTCGAGCTCACCAACGAGGGTCTCCGCTTCGACAGAAGCTTCGTCTTGGTCAATCCGCCCAAAGACGATTCACGACGTGCCAAATTCCTCACCATCAAAAAACTCTACAAGCTCGCTCTCTTCAAACCCACCATAGTAAGTCTTTGGGAACACGGTGAGAAGGGCAGGCAAGACGGCAGGGCTGACAGTGGTCGGTACTCTGATTTAGGACGACAGCTGGACCAAGCTCACGATCCACCATACGAGAGCGACTCCGTCGTCGTCCATTACGGTGCCTCTGACGCCGTCGCCGCTGTCTCTGTTGACAAACAAGACTTTCGAGGTGAGTATATTTGGCACGACTGCCATCGGCATTGATCTCGGCGAGGAAGCCGCGGCCTTTTTCTCGAAGCACTTGGATCAAGACGTCCGTCTGCTCTCGATCGGAGGCACGGGTCGTCGCGAGATCCCAGGCGCCGCCTATATCCCCAGTCAACGCAGTGCGCTTTCTTTGGCGCTACAAGAAGGCCTCCAGCCCCAACGCATCCGGTTCGCCGACGCTGCACCGTTGCTCATCACGTCGACGGCATCCGAGGAAGATGCACGCTCGCGCCTCCCCCCAGCGCACCAGGACGAGGACGTCATCATCCGCTTTCGCCCGAACATCCACATCGACGTGAAGACTCAACTGCCGCCATACGACGAGGACAACTGGTCTTCGCTGCTAGTTCGCTCACATTCGGACGAAGCTCAAGAGGTCACAATCAAATGCATCTTCAGAACAGTGCGCTGCCTCAGCTTGAATGTGGATCCTGATACCGGCGAGATGATTCAACGTGAGCGACAGCTCTATGGATTACTGGCTAGTGACAGAAGGGTCAACGACAAGTTCCCTCGTAAGTCATACTGATCTACCTCGTGATGCTGGGTCTAGTACGTCCATGCCCCTGACAGGAATCACAGACAAGCCTGTTTTCGGCCAATATGCCTTTGCCGGGCCATCCGGCGCCATCCTTCGTACAGGAGACGCAGTATATGTTACTGAAAGAATCCAGAGGACCTGAAATCAAGAGCACAGAACCCGTTGAGATTGGCTCAGTCTTCGAGGGATATGCATGCTTGCATGCCGCCCTCGAAACCCGCTGGCTGCAACCATGCCGGTGAGCTGCTCAATATAGGGTGTTGGCTTCGTTGCCAAAAGTACAAGTCGGCAAGAGTCGGTTCCTGGATGGCCTGTCTGGTTGCATGCTTACGCTGGAAAGTGGCGCAGCGCTCGCGTAACTCTCTAACCAAATGGTGTCTCCGGTCTCGAGCAGCCCCGGCCATTTCTCCACCTTTGCTCTTTGTCCCTGTCGAATCTCCAGCACCCATTCGTTCCGCGCAACCGTGCGGCTTCATGGTCGTCAAGCTGATCAAAGAGTCTTCTAACGACATCGTCCTCATCAACTTCGGCGTCGCATCGGGTAAAGAACATGGTTTCCCATTGCCTGCCCTCCATCTGCTCCTTCTTTCTTAGCTGACGCTGAGCATTCTCGAGCTTCGATTTCTCTCCGACAATCTTGGCATGATCGCCTCTTCTGATGGCGTCGAATGTCGGACCCCACGCGCGCCTAGTCTCCCAAGGAGACTGTTCGGCCAGCGGCTTGACTGTCATTGGCGCCGGTTGGTTTTGGGCATCCGCCAAGTCGAATACCTCGATCTCCTCGCCTGATGCATTAAAGATCGAGAACCTGGAGCTCCAGCTGCCTGAAATCGTGAAGATGGCGTCCTTTCGCGAGTCCGCCGTTCGGTATATCGAAGCATGAAAGCAATTTCGGGAACCACCCCACATCCTCTTGCCGGTAAATGTCATCTCGGCGGTAAAACTGCTGGAGCTCAGGATCTTATATGTGTCGTTGAGTTCGGGCCACGGCGCCCCGGTCAGGACACTCCGAGCCTGTACATCCGGCAATGGCAGGAGGTACGTCTCATTGTACTTGTCAACTTTCAGGACGGCGTGACCGGACTGGCGAATCATTACCGACGTTCCTGATAACGTGGTATACTGGGTTGAATATGCCTGGGCGTGGACGCCATGCTCATCGTCCGAGATGTATGCTGCTGTTGTGGGTGGATGATGCGATACTTGCTCGCTGATGACCCGGACTGTGGACGCCGAGGCTTTCTCTGCTGTCAAGTCGTGATCGCTAAATTCGCAGAAGAACAGTTCGCCGAGGAAAGGATTCAGAGGTTTCTTCAACCCTTCTTTGACGGTCCGTCCGACATAATACTGTCGTTGCAGCGAGGCGAGGTACAATTTGAGAACTAGGAGCATACGCTTTTCCGCCGATGATTCGCGACTTGGAGCTGTGAAGAGCGACGGTCGCTCCGCCCAATACGCCGGAAATTCTGTGAGGGACGACGGGGCTAAGATGAAAGGTGGAGCTGTGATGTGCGATATGTCGCCACTGACGGTAGCAAGGAACTGTCCTTGGTGAGCGAAGTCTCCTATGTGAAGGGGCAATGTGTCCAATGAAGACACTTACGGCAATGAAATCCTTCAAGGCGCCGAGGTTGCCTAGTCTGGCCACCATATTGGTTAGATATGTCACAATTCCTCCACTTTATTCTGTCAAAGTGTATTGGGTGCAAAAGGATGAGTAGAGCCGGCGATGGAGTGGAAATCCGCAGCAGTAACACAGACAACTCTATGGGGTATCACAGACAGCTGACACGGGGAAATAGAAGTGGTTCGACAATGGATCCGTGCAGCGGTGGGAAGTTGGCGCAGTATGTATACTGCAATTAGCAGCAGGGAGGGAGGAGGAAGATGGGGCTTACCTTGAATCGTCTGCACTCGCTTCATCGCTTGCGGTCCCCTTCTCGGATCCTGAAGATAACCTGCGGCGGTCGGACTCGGCGCCTGACTCGCTTTCACCACCAGTCCCTACCGAAACGCGTTTCACAGATCGCTTGATTTTCTGCATCGCCAGACGCCTCCTGGAAAAAGCGACTAAGGGACAGGATGTGGGGGTGAGCGCTCCAGCCTCGATGGCTCTTACGCGGCCGTATGTCAAACCCAGTGGCTGCTGCTCCTCGCGGCGTGCACCGTCCTAACTGGGCGTAGTTGACGCGCAGTGCGTGTGGCCAAAATGGCGTTGGAATGGCGGCGAAAGCGCTATTACCCTTGCCTGAACGTTCGAGAAGAAGCTGCGGGATGAGGGTGAGCGGGTAGTGAGAGGGACAGGATTCACTGCCTGGGGAGCATTGTGTTTCAAAAATAGGTGTTTGCAAAGCGTTGGGCCAATGATGTCGATGATGTCAATGATGTGGACTCGATCTCTGACTGAAGGTCGCGACGAAACCAGTCGCGCGCCACGCTTGCGATCGAGGCTGCTGGCCATGTCATTCGCCACAATTTGTGGGTGCAGTGAGTGGTGCGAGTGGTGCGTGAATGAAAAGTGAGTGGGAAGTGAGCGGAAGGTGAGTGGAAGGTGAGTGCTAGGTGATAAGGTAAGCAGCCGGCCACGAATCACCAGGAGCTCTAGACAGCGACCACGAATCACCTACTGGGGTAAATAGGGGCACCCTAATCAGGTGCTGTAGGTGCCCGGACCGGCATGTGAAAGAGACCGCGTCGCAGCTTACGCACCCTCGCAGGAACCCTGGCAAGTACTTACGGGCGCAAAGGAGACAGAGACAGGCTGCGCCATACAGCATTTCGCGAGGTAGAATGTAGCCACAACTTCTCAATAATCGACGCGAGACTGACCGTCGATGTCACTGCTGCTACCTCAGTGGCGGCCATGTCAGTGCTTGTACTACTCATTCCGAATACGTGCGACCCTCTCATGGCCGGGGCAATTTTCGCGCGGAAGCAGACAACCCGAGTGATCTCAGTATCTTCAAAGGGAAAGGAATACGAGATTCAACAGAGGCGGTGCTCAGTGACCGATTGATTGCTTGACCGGCAGAATCTGGGTCCGCCTTCCCCACGAAATCACTGTCCAGATTATTTTTAGGCTATGCGCCAGCCATCAGTCAACGTCAACGTGAGCAGTCAAGATCATTCTGGAAGACGTCAGCCGCTCGTCGCACTCGCCGGCGCAAGGCCGAGGACGAAATCCTCGGCACAAAGGAGCATCGCCGTCATTTCCTACGAGCCAGTTTCGCACTGGCATCAGTGCTTGGATCGGTTGGTCAAACAGATGAGCAAAGTCGATTGGAACACCGCTTCCTCAAGCAGACAGGCGCTTCGGCTACCCGACCGCTGTGGGCACCATATTCCTAGAGCGTGTACTTATCGGCTCAGGATCACGCCTATACTCAGTCGCTCCAGGGGGAAGGGAGCTGCAGCGACTTTCTTCTGATCGGTCAGAAAGCGAGTCTCCCACCGTCCACGGGCAGGTTGACGCCTGTTACAAACGCCGCTTCGTCACTCGCGAGATACACCGCCGCATGGGCGATATCATCTGGCTCCGACATGCGCCGGAGGGGGACGGATTGTGCGAACCGTTGCCTCTCCTCGGGTGTGTCAGGGACCCCACTGAACAATTCAAGCAGACCGGTTGCACTTCTCAGAGGACAGATGGAGTTGACTCGGATACCCTCGGGTCCATATTCCGCGGCAAGTCCCTGAGTTATCTGACGGAGCCATGAGTAGACGTCACCATGATAGAGGACTCGGCAAGGACTCACCGTGTTCACGAAGCCCTTGGTACCTCCATAAAACACCTGACCTGGACGCACTCTCATACCCGCAATCGACGAAGTGCTCAAGAAGACGCCGCTCTTCCTCCCCACGAAATACGGCATCACCACCGAGACGCTCAGATAGATGCTCTTGATGTTCACGGCCACGATCCTGTCAAAGTCCTCCTCAGACACCTCTATGCTCGGTTGCTTCTTGTATGTCGTGCCTGCGTTGTTGACCACGATGTCGAGTTTTCCGAACTTTTGCTTCGCCAGTTCCAGACCTTGCTCCCAGTCGCTGCGCTTTGTGACATTCAGCTGCACGAAAATCGCTTCGCCGGGATAGCTTTTGGCCGCTATTGCCGCGGCGACCCTCTGTCCATTGTCAACAGCAATGTCCGCTATCAGCACTTTTGCTCCTTGCGCGGCGTAGGCATGGGCAATGGCTTCACCGAATCCACTGCCTGCTCCAGTGACGAGGGCGACCTTCCCATCAAGGCGGCCCATTGCGTTGTATCCTGGGATGGACCTGATTGACCGATCAACGTCCACAGAATTATTCTTTCGCCCTCTAGGCCTTTCTCGACCGGCATATATGACCTTAGAACTTCAGAGACTTTGGTGTAGGTGAAAGCGAGCCCTCCAACCTCCTGACGTGAGGAGCTCATCACCCACCATGTGGCATGCAAGACGAGGCTGAGCAAGTGAGGGGACACCGGTACCATGCGGAGGTTGTCCGAGGTGGCCGCTGAGCGACCGGGGCCTCTCCAACTTGACCCCTGCAACGGATCCCTTATGGGTACTACGTCTCCATCTGATGCCGATAGCGGACGTTGGAATTTGCCTCATGAATCACCACTAGCTGGCCGCAGACGAGGCAATATTTACCCAGTACAATCGCCGAGGCGAACGGCGGACTGGTTCAAGCACCGCGGCGAATATCACAAGTCGTCAGAAAATCACACTCTCTCTGTGCGTCTATGGACCATTGATTTCCCAAGGTACAGCACAATGGCTCCTCCGCAGCGCTGTGATGTCCTGGTTGCCGGAAGTGGCAACGCTGGCTTCTCAGCCGCCGTTGCTGCCAAACAAGCGGGAGCAAAGCATGTCGTCCTGATTGACAAATGCCCAGAGGAATGGGCCGGAGGCAACACATACTTCACCGCTGGCGCGTATCGGACCGTCCACGGAGGCATTTCCGACCTATTGCCGCTGGTCAACAATGTCGACGACGCGACGGCGAAGAAGATCGACCTGGAGCCGTACACGAATGAGGACTTCTCGAAGGACATGAAGCGGATATGCAGTGGCAGGTCAGACCCTCGACTATCCAAGATACTCATCGAAGAATCAAACGCAACGGTTAAGTGGCTCAAAGACAACGGAATTCGGTTCCAGTTATCGTTCAACAGACAGGCCTATGAAGTCGACGGACGGCTGAAATTCTGGGGTGGTCTGCATCTCAAGACAGAGGATGGAGGTAAAGGGCTGATTGAAGACCACAAGGCCGCAGCGAAGAAACACGGCGTCGAGGTCCTCTACTCGACGGCTCTCAAACGTCTGGTGACAGATTCTCAAACCGGCGCCGTGACGTCGGTCGCGGTGCAGTCGAACGGCCAAGAGGCCGTGATTGAGACAGGGGCCGTCATCCTGGCAGCCGGCGGATTTGAGGGCAATCCTCGAATGCGATCGCAGTACCTGGGTCCAGGCTGGGATCTGGCAAAAGTCCGCGGCACACCTCACAATACCGGCGACGTGCTGGAGACGGCCATCCGAGACGTCTCGGCCGCGCAGGCGGGAAACTGGTCCGGTTGTCACTCCGTCGCATGGGACGCAAATGCACCGAGCGACACTGGCGACAGAGAAGCATCCAACGAGTTTACCAAATCCGGGTACCCGCTGGGCTTGATGTTCAACATTCTAGGCGAGCGGTTCGTCGACGAGGGCATCGATCTACGCAACTACACGTACGCCAAGTTCGGCAGAGCGATTCTGGCTCAACCGGGCCATGTGGCCTACCAGGTCTGGGACTCGCGGACCATCTCGTGGCTGCGCTCGGAGGAGTACCGGCCTGAAAGAGTGGAGAGGATATCGGCCGACTCGATCGAGGAACTGGCCGATAAACTGACCGCCTATGGCCTGGAAAACAAGGATGCCTTCACCCGCAACGTCAAGGAGTACAATGAGGCAGTCTACGCCTTCCAGAAGGAGAACCCGCACAAGAAGTGGGACCCGGCCGTGCGCGATGGCATGTCCACGCAGTCCAGCACGACCAGACTATCGCTCGGCAAAACGAACTGGGCATTGCCGCTGGACAAGGCGCCATTCCTGGCCGTCGCCGTAACGTGCGGCATCACTTTCACTTTCGGGGGACTGAAGGTCAACCCGGACACTGCCCAGGTAATTAGCTCGGCCACTGGCAAAGAGGTGCCGGGGGTGTATGCCGTGGGCGAGATGCTAGGCGGACTGTTCTACGAGAACTATCCCGGCGGCAGTGGCTTGACTTCGGGGGCGGTCTTTGGACGACGAGCCGGAACCGCTGCTGCGAAGGCCGTTGCTGTGGCCACACGGTGAAGTTCTCGCCTCTGCCGCAGACGGAGGGACAGACAGATCAGATACCAATACAAATACAAATACAGTTACATATACACGTACACGTACAGCCCGTAGGCACATTTCTCCGCGTAGACTAGCGTAAAAGTACGAACACCCGTATCACATCACATCACATATCATACTTCACGTCGGATATCAGACATCATACGTCTCACATCCTACGTCCTACATCCTACATCGTACGTACCCTGCCATCAGCATCATAGCCCCACCGTGATGCTCTTAATCTCCGTATATTCATTCAAGGCGTCCTTGCCGCCCTCCCTTCCGACACCACTGTCCTTAATGCCCCCAAACGGCTGCTCACACGCACTGATCAAGCCGACCCTCACGCCCACCATGCCGGACTCCAGCTCCTCACTGATGCGCCACACGCGCGAAATGTTCTCCGTGAAAAAATACGAGGCCAACCCGGCACTCGTGCCGTTGGCCAGCGCGATCGCCTCGTCGTCCGTATCAAAGGGGACGAGGAACGCCAGCGGGCCGAACGTCTCCTCGCGCATGAATCGCATATCCTTGGTCGCGTGAGTGATGATCCGCGGGGCGTAGAAGTTGGGACCGAGGTCGTGACCGGCCTGCTGAGTCTGGCCCGTTTCATCGGCGTGTAATTTGGCGCCGTGGGCCAACGCGTCGTCGAGTTGGGCGTGGATCTTCTCGAACGCCCTCGCCGAGTATAGCGGCCCGAAGTTGACGTTTTTGTCCCACACGGAGCCGTATCGGAAGGTGCTGCTTAATTTGGTGGCCAACACGGTGGCGAAGGCGTCCATGACGGAGCGGTGGACGAAGATGCGGTTCGCGCACACGCACGTCTGGCCTGAGGAGCGGAACTTCGAGGATATCAGGCCTGATTGCGAAGATTACGCACTTAACATCAGCATACCGGACTACGACACAGACACACAATGGATGGCGTAGAGAGTAGAGCGTGTGGTGGATGGTATGGTATTCATCACTTTTTGGCGTTGCCTCGCCTCACCGTGCACGTAGGGACAGTACTCACCCTCGGCCGCCTTGTCCAGCTTTGCATCCTCAAAGATAATGAAAGGCGCGTTGCCGCCTAGTTCCATGCTCGTCTTCTTGAACGTCTTCGCGCACTCGGCATGCAGGTACCGCCCCACGGCCGTGCTGCCGGTGAAGCTCAAGTGCTTGACAAGCGGGTTCTGCGTCATCTCCTCGCCCACCAGCTTCGACTTTTCCGTGCTGGAGGTCACGATGTTGAGGACGCCCGGCGGTCCGCCCGCGCGCTCGAACAGTTTCGCCACGGCAATGGCGCACAGCGGCGTCTCCGGCGCGGGCTTGCACACGACGGTGTTGCCCGCCGCGATCGCGGCACCGACTTTCCTGGTGACCATGGCGACCGGAGAATTCCACGGCGTGATGGCCGCGACCACGCCCTGGGGCTGCCGGATCGTGAAGATTCGGTTCTCCCCTTTCGCAGCAGGGATCGTCTCGCCGTACTGTCGCTCGATGGCACCTTCGAACCAGTCCAGGAAGTCGGTCCCGTATTTGACGGTGACGAGGGACTCGGTGAAGGGCTTGCCGAGCTCAAGGGTGCAGATCGCGGCGAGGTCGTCCTTGGCTGCTTTGATGAGGTCGGCCCATCTCCGCATGAGCCACCGGCGGTCGCGCGCCGTGGTCTTGCGGTACGTGGTGAAGGCTGATTGAGCGGCTTCGATGGCCTGCCGGGTCTCGTCACGGCCTAGGTCCGCGACGTGGCAGATCTGCTCGTTGTCGCTGGGGTCTGGAGAGCGTTGGATACGGTGAGCAGGGGCAGGAGCAGCAATGTAGAGGGGCTCGCATCCTTACCGAGCACGGCAAACTTGTCTCCATTGCCGGCGTCAACCCATTTGCCTCCTATGAAGGAACGGGTGTCCAGCAAGGAAGGGTCTTTGAACTAACGGACCTGTCGGTTAGAATAGGGGGTACATCGCGCCAAGTCAAGCTGGCGTACCGTGTATGGGATCTTCTTCAATAACATGTCGGCCATGTTGTCTGTCAAAGTATATTGATATGTCGTAGGGATATGTGTTGCCGAAGTTGTCTCGATGTTGTCCAAAGACCGCAGAAGTCCTTAGGCCGTGCCATGGTGTTTTGATGCTGCATGTACGGCGTATTGAGCGGGGAAATCGGATCAACACAGCGTTGCCCTTGACGGACAATATCCGTGGGGTTCCAGAGCGAAGGTCGAAAGTACCTCGTACCTTGGTCGGCGTGAAGGTAAGCAATGCCATCTCCGCATTTCTGTACGGCCCATACCCCGACTTTGTGGAGAGATAGGGATATCTAGGCCCGATCTCGGCTCGCTCGTGCTTCTCACAGAGTTTCTTGCGGACATGTCGTTGCTCTTTACATGTGATCATAGCAGCTGAGGCCTAACGTGACGTGCAAGGAACGCAGCCAACGCCACTCCACTCATGACCTCGACCAGATTACTCCTTCTTCCGTACCACTCATGCCACTCAGCAACCACGCACGGAACTTGGCCTTCGGCTGACCACTACTGCTCAGTCATCGGTAAGATCAATAACGACCTTTGGCTTCTTGGGAGGGGGTGGCACTTCGACCGGCTCATCGCCATCGTCCAGCGTTGCTTCTTCTCGTGATCGCTTTGCTCCGCTGCTAGGATTGGTACCCACCGGCAGACGGCGGTTTTCTTGCTTGACGTGGGCGAACAACGGCGGTGGCGGAGGGACTGACCATCGAGGCTCCATCTTGACCCTCGTAGGGCGCGCGAAAATATTCTCGGTGTCCATCAGTCCCTCAACCTTTACACTGGTTCCACAGCTAGGGGCCAACGTGCTAGCAAGTACTCTCACGACCGGCTACGCTACTGGCACGACTCCCAGATTCTGCCCGAGCCACTCTCTCCTGTTCGGTATTAGGCCCTTCTCGTCTTGTATATCACCGGAGGTCAGTCACGTACCCTCAATTCTCTGAGCTCTTGATGCATCATCAACATCATCTCGTTGGTGCGTCGCATCATGAGTCCAGCGTCAGGAACGGGCGAGGGGCTTCTTGGAATGCATCCGAGACTCTGGAGTGTTTCTGTAGCCATCAGTACGTGAGCCACGAATGTCCTCCTTTACTCACTTCTATTTCTGTAGAGAAACTTGAACTCATATGGCACTCCCCTGGCGCTATTGATGGGGACGTAGCCATAATACTGTATTGCTGGTGGCCCGGCCGCGCCATTCACCGTGTATCTGAATTGTGATATGAGCAGGTACCGGATGGCCGAAAGGGAAGACAACCTACTTGACATTGTGTTTTATCGCTTTGCCCTTTAGCGCCCTTTCCGATATCTCGTCCAGAGGCTTGGGCGTAGACCCGTCCCATACGTATGGTTTATATAGGGTCTTCTTCTTGGCTCTGTAGACTGACACCCGGAGAGATCCTAAGAGGTCGATATCGGAAGGGGTGAGGTTTTCCGGAAGTGGAGCGTCCCCATCTGTTACTAGTCAGAGCCGTGTGTAAGCGCCTCAGCACAGGAAGACTTACCGACAGCGAGGGGACCGAATCCATAACTTGTAGTGACCCATTGTCCGGTAAATTCGTCTTTCATCAAGCTTGAGTGAAACCAAACCTCCTCACGATGTTGAAGCTCGGCTCTGTAGGTTACTACACTTTCGTAAGGGCAATTGAAACTTTGCCAGTGGTGGTTCTGGTCAATATAGAATTCGATGCGGACATCGCTCGCTGTGAAGAATTGGAAGCCCGGAAGAAGGGCCACTTTCACCGAAAACCTCTGACCTGCTTTGACCTCCACGTATCGGGTCATGCGGTGATCATCTTCGGCTTCACGCTCGGGGTCGGAGTATTCTTTCAGAGGTTGGCCGTCGACGTATAACTCGGCAGTGATGCATCCTTGGGCAGGCATGATTGCCAAACGCTGTGAAGGTTCTGTGATGAAGAAATGAGGAGGACAGAGGTCATGAGTGGTGAGGGAGAAATCAACCGGAACAGAAATCGAAGTGAAAAGGAAGCGCAGGCGCAGCTGCTGCAATCACTTGCCGCTCACTCAGATTTCATTTTGACATCCATTCTTGCTTGCTGCGCTCGACAGATTCTCTGCATCTCCGTGATCTCATTGACGGACTTCATGGAAAGGACGACGCGCCGACAAGGCCGATCGAGTATCATGTTCCTGACAGCATTCTCACACAAGGCCACAACTCATGTTGGCACAACCCTCCATGGTCACGGAACATGGAGAGATCACTTATCTCTACCAGGACCTTGTCGCTGAACACTGAACCCTCGGCTTTGATAGTTTTCGTAGATTCATGTATCAGGCTTCGAGGATGTCACAGCCTGTTTCCCCAACCAGAGATTTTGAAAGTAACAGAGTGGCCAAGTCGGAATGCTGGCAGGATGGTAGTGGTCGCGCTCAAGAGCAGGGACTTGCATCCTGTCTGTTGTCGTCTTGCATCGCACGCGACGGTAGCTTAAGATGAGGGAAGCGCGCCGTCTGGCTTTTGTGCAAATCCTATGATAGCTAGCGACCTGCTGTCGACGACCGGATATCTCTCGAGGGAAATCTATCTCGAGCCTGATCACGAGACGACGGCATGTGCGTAAGGACTGTATTCAGCCAGCTACCTAGGACGCCTGTGCTGACGCAGCAGCTCCGCCATACCAGAACTACACCACAAGATGCGGTACGTACGTAGCGTGATGTGCGTGATCTCGCGTGTCTCGTTCAACGTCGGCGAGATTATTCCCCGCAAACGTGCCGTCTTTGATCTCTCCAACTCGGCAGTCTCCTCCGCATCAACTCGGCGATATGTACTCGGACGCAAAGCCATAAGAATGATTCGATCCGATTCGACTGACCATGCTGCGCGTACCGTGCCGGTGACGGTACACTACCAGTGAACCTAGGTATAAAATGTACATTTAGTGTACGCCCTCGTCCCAGGCACCCCAGCGCGGTCCCTCCCTCGAACATTCCCAGAAACTCGTATCTCATAATTACAGGGCTACGTCGCCATGGCCAACGACTTCACCAAGAACAAACACAACCTCGTCGGCGTGTGGAGTCTTATCTCGGCCGCGATGTACGACTCGGACAAGCCCGATCGGACCCTCCTGGCCAAACCGCACGGCGACAATCCGCAGGGCAAGGTCGTCATCTCGTCGTCGGGATACCTGCTCGCGACGCTCGTGGCGCCCGAGGGCCTACAGCCCGTGGCGTCGGACGACTGGGCGCTGGCCACGGACGACGAGGTCCTGCGCGTGGGCAGGAGTCTGACCACGTACGGCGGCTTTCTGACGGTGAATGAACGGGACGATGGGTCGCTTTTGTGGCAAACGACCGTGGAGATCGCGAGTAATCCGAATTGGGTGGGCAAGCCGCAGACGCGGATTGCGCGGTTCAGCGAGCACGACGGCCAGGCGTACATGACGTTGAATCCGGTCAAGTGGTATACTTTGAAGGTGTGTGCTCTGCTCTCGTCCATGCACATGTCCTCCACGCAGGAGATCAGAGAATGAACGCACGCGTGTAACCGTGCCCTGCTGACCGTGTGCTCTACGTTACCTAGGATGGGACGAAAGCCCAAGGAGAGTTCAAATGGCGGAGAATCGGCTCATGAACACATAACGCTACTGTACGGAGTACCTGGAATGATCACCATGTCTGAATTATCCTGCTTGGCCTTCCTCGGCAGCCTTCTCCCCCTGTTGTTGCGTCTGCCCCTTCGATCGATCCCGATCCCACGGTTTCCCATCCCGCCAGAACCCCTCCACGATCAACTTTCGACCGGGCTTCCCGTTGCGTGGTAATTCATTCAGCCAGTCCCAGCGGGTCTTCTCCTTCCAGCCGCGACTCTTCCAGTCGTTGAGCTCTAACTTTGGATTTTCGTTCAGAGTGGGTAGGTGCTTCAGCAAAGCTTCGTCATGCGCAAGGCACACCATCACATGGGGCGATTGTTCGAAATGGAGCAGCTTGTCCACCGACTTTTGTGCCGTGGGTGGCTCGACATACGCAGAAGCGCTGTGGGTGGACACTTTGTAGAAAGGCGTCCGCTGCCGTTCGTGGGGAGGTGCATCGTTTGACAGTTGCGGATGATGATCAGCGAACAAACTGCAGGGGCATGGCCTGGGAAAGTACGAAGGATCGTGATCCAGGACATCGGCCGGGATGGTGTCGGGGAGCGGATACGCGACGTTCGGCCTGATATCGCCCACGAAGTGGCATATGTCTCCCCCCAGCAAGAGGAACGTGCCGTCGTCGGCTGAAGTTGTGCGTGCAAGTCCGCACATGTGCCCGATACAGTGGCCAGGCGTGTCTATAGATCAGTTTTGATGATGAGCTTGGCCGGTAGAAAAAGAAGCGGGGCTCTGAGGAGAGCGTGAACATACCGAGTAGATAGAACGATCCATCTCCAAAGAAGTCGTACGCGTCGTACCCACCAATCTGAAGGTTCGACTCGGCGAAGTCGATCTCTCTCAGCTCTCGACCCTTGAAGTCAGAAACGAGGACGGGGGAGTCTAGCTTCTCCGGAAAGCCAGGCAGCAGCAGCGGAGCGGATTTGAAACCAGGACCAACGACGATCTCGGTCGAGGTTGGGAAGAGAGCCATATTGCCGATGTGATCCCAATGATAATGGGACCAGATCACAGAAGCTGGAATGACAGGTCGTCAGAACAAAAATGCTCGAAGCGCATCGGCGCCCGCGACTCACAAATACTCCCCAAGCCAATTCCGTTCTCCTCCAAGATCTCAGGCACGCTCTTGTCCACCCTCAGACTCGGGATCACGCTGCCGATCCTCTTCTGTAGGATAGCGGCATAGTTCCAATAGTCCTTGCGCACGCCCAAGTCAAACATCACCTTGCGGCCAGACGGCTCATGCTCAAGTAAGAATGCCACAGCACTGAGATTGAGCATCTCGTGGCCTGGTTGCACGGGTTCGACGAAGGATTCGGCTCGCACGGTCATGCAGGCGGTGGTGTCGATCATTCGAACCCGGACGGTCGATGACGAGCGAGGGAAATCAATAGAAGCGGCAGCCATGTCGAACGATAGTATCAGTCAGTCAAATGGCAGCTGAGGATCGTCCAGGTTCAGGCATCCACAAACTGTGACATGGTCGACGCGCCCTTGACCATTGTCGACGAAACAGCCGGGCACTCAAGCGGACCAGGCATTTCCATGATTCTGGAAAGCGACGAATCTCAACACTGCCACCCCGCATTCTGACCTGCGTGAATGCGCAACGGGGTTCTCCTCTATCAGCGACACTCTCAGAATAGGTACGTTGCAGCACGGAGACCTTAACATTCTGCATATGGCAAGGGAAGCGATGGCTGAAGAATGGCTCAGGTTGGGGGATCACGTCTAGTGGTCGTTCAGCTCCGCTTCATGAGTAAGAGTACCGTTGCTATATCGCCAGCTTAATTATACATACAGCCTTGACATCTTGGCCCATACGGATGCCGATCGAAAACGGACCAACGGTCTACGCAGGATAGGCCATATCTTGGGGCTTGACATATCCCGCACCATTGAGCTTCTGGGCCAACTCTTGCTCGCGATGCTCGGCTTCTTTGTCCTGTTGAACGAGGGAGCAACATGCGCAGCAGCATGATGTGAACAGATCCGTCACGCAGTCTCCCTGAAGGTTGTATTTCTTGCGGATATCGGCGCGCTGGAACATCATCGGGATGAAATGTAGACCGAAGCAGGAGAACCCGGTGAACATGAGGCACTATCCGTCCCCCGTCAGTTTGAACCCCACAGGACCATCGGCCTCCCGCGCGGACTCACCGAGGCGTTGATGAAGTTGTAGCCATCCATGTTTCCATGCTTTCGGCTTCGGTGGTGTGTCTTGCCGAAGGTCACGCATGGCACGCAGCAAGTAATCAGGCCTGTGCTGGGGTATCAGCTCATCTGATGAAACGTGACCTATTGAAGACGAGCACCTACACGTGTCAATCGGAGCAAAGCAGCTGAAGAAGGATGTGTGCCATGGTCGAGCATCTGGCGCAGATGGAGCAGTAATGACGGATGAGTCGGCAAGGCCCTCATTGAAGCGCTTCACCCAGTCTTGCACGTCCTTCTGGTCAATCATGCCGTCCTGGGTAGGGGCGTGGGCAGCAGCGGGAGCGGGAGCATGAGCATCGGATGCCATTGTCGGGATCGGTATTGCCTAACAGAAAGAGTGACTAGGGTGAGATGAACTGCAAACAAGACAGAATGAGCGACCGAAGGAAAGGCTGGTTGGGAGTAGAGGAGTCCAGTATCGATTGAATCAGGGAGAGGCGCTGAAGTATATAAACTCCAGGTACTCCGTACTCCGTATTGTGTATAAGAAACCGCCGGCTTCAAGCCACGTTCTGCATTTGGTAGCAGGCTCGGTAGGTCAAAGTGAGCCTTGATCAGTATGCCTGCTTGATCCCAAGTCCTAGACTGGAAGTGTTTAGTCTTCCAGCGAGCCAAGAAACGTGGTTAGAGTTGCATGCCCGACAGGCTGTTTTAATTGACCCTGGAAGCTCTTCCAGTACTCCGTACTCGTATATCGAAATTCAGGTTCAGCCTTGCGCTGCTAAGCGAACAAAGGGCGGAGATACAGGGATCGGAAAAGGGGGTCGACCACGCTTGGGGCCAAAACGGCGCTGATGCTCAAACTCGAGGCTTGACGCGGGCCGGAGACTTTCCTTAGTTGCGCGTGGATTTGGCGTGGTCGACAGACGTCGCAAATTGGAGCAATTGAATACGAGAAAGAAACTTTCCATTTGAGGCGAGGATTGACAGATTGAATGTGTATAGGGCGAAGTCGAAAGCCACCGTGGCGCGGCGTCGTGCCGAACAATTCCGACATTACTTTTCCCTGTTGTTTCTCTGTCGCGACGAGAGAATGGATATTGGTTCTGGTAGGTCATAATAAGTCAATATTGTCCCGACGCCGGATAAACTTGAAGCGTGCACTCGCCGCAGCAGAAGAGGTGATGACTCTCCTGCAGCTTCGGGACGTTGACGATCAAGTCCCTTTCCCCCACTAATTAGGGTCCTGCAGACTTCGCTGGTGCCAAAACTAATCTCAAGTGTCTCGCCTAATTACTTCGTCAGGAAAGACAGGGTCGTCACGAAAGAGCTCCGCGCATTGGACAGCCTATGGTGAGGATATCGAAATTGTGGAAGTGAGGTGCTGGTGAGACGGAAGTGAAAGTGGCCTGAACGTTGCGGTGCACTGCACATGTTAGCGCCAGCATCGGAGGAAGTCACTCAACCTTTGACTCTTTCAATTTCACTTCGCTTCGAAAGGTAGATGAGAATTATCTGAAGTCAACCTTCAACATCTGTATTTACTCACTTAAGCTCCTGTGACGCATACTTCAGCCAGCACCCAATGTCGGACGCACTTTCGCTGGTAGTAGTTAGGCATTCACCTGCGGAGCCTGGCATGTTACCGGCGACACAGTCCGGGGAGTTTGGGACCCGGCAACAAGCGTGAAGCTGGGTCGCGCCTTGAATGGGCCTGAGATTGGCAGTGCTCCGCGGCTCTTCCTTGACACAATACTTCCTGTTTACCGTGACATAGAATGCTTTACCAAATGCCACCAGATAGCGACAGTAAGGCGGGTGGACTTGTGGCCGTCAACACAATATGCTGCAGGTCTGTTCGGACAGCCAACCGTCATGAAAGGACGCCGTGTTGCACTATGAGTTGTCGCTCCAACCCAAGCCTGTTGACCGCTAAGCCGCTACAGTAACTTGGGATGCCCAGGTCTTTCTTCCGTATCATGGCAGGTACAGTATTGGAACGTTGTGTGCTTCGCAATGCATCGCGCACCATCAGATCCCTTATTGCCAGGTCACTATTCTGTCCGCCGACAACTCTGTGACTCGGGCAGGCCCGGCGACCTACACCCCAGAACAGGATTCAATAGCACAGGGAGATGAATTTATCAAATCGACTAGCAAGTCCTCAACGGAAACTCAACGACTCGCTCTTGAGACAGCATTAGAGTGATATTAACTGATCGCAACGAAAGGGGGTGAAATGAAGACAACCGCATTGCTCGAATCTGACCAAGCCGGACCAGGGTACTCGTACCAGGATGATGAATGCAATGGCGCCGACGACGCCCACGCGGAACTATTTGTGACATGAACCGCCGAGACGCGGACCGTGAGGCGCATCAGGGAGAGGAACTTGCTGCTGTCTCGCTAAGGGTCACGACACATGAACGTCGGCGGATTTGCGATTGTCCAAGGCATCACGAAAAGTCTGGACACACTGTGAGCACGATAAGGTCTCTGGATTGTTGGATATTCTGACTGATTCCACCATGGTATTTGTGAATTGCTACTATACCCCACGAGATCGTAGCCAATGTGTCCCCGAAATGACCCCCCCAAATATAACATGTAAGCTCAACTTGGCTGGCGCTAGCGAACACATCAGACAATGAACGCATACACCACAGTCCAGTGATAGGGCGTTCGACATGATCAAAGTGAAGGTGAAGCGCGCAGATGAAGGGAAGGGTAAGTGGCTGCCAAGACCGTCTACGGCGGAGCACATGGACCGGCGAAGGTTCGGATGCGGAGAAACTGCGACCGAGACACATTTCCAGATGTTTGTGGACAGCGAAGTCTCAAGATCCTGTGATGACAGCCTGTCTCTCCAGACACTCCGAGATCTTGGTGCAAAACACGGAATACTCAGGCACATATCGCTTACACGTCGCCGTGAAACCTCGTTCAAAATGCAGCGGCAACCCTTCTCCCCGCCTCAGAAATCCCCAGAACTGTTCCATCCGCGACCTCAACACATCTCGCAAGTACCCATGATGAGATCACCTCCTCCTCCTGCCTCTCAGAACTCATCGCAGCCTCCAATAAACAGCTATGGGAATCCCTATCAGTCCCCTCCCGCAGGAGCAGGTGGAGGCGCAGGCTTTGGACCGAGCTTCAACTTTATTTCCGACCCAACGGCTCAGATGGGATTCCAAGTGGGACAGCATGCAATGAAGGCCGGGCAAGAGTATATGGAGCAGAATGTACGTGTACCAACAACACTTTGAACACAAAGATAAGAGCCCTTCTCTGGCATGGGCAGCGAAGCCTGACATCTTTCGCTACAGTTAAACCGGTACATCTCAGTCTCGGCTCTGAAGCACTACTTCAATGTGTCCAACTCATACGTCGTGCGGAAATTGCTGCTCGTGCTGTTTCCCTGGCGGCATAAGCCATGGACGCGGCAGCAAGCTCGAATGACGACCTCTTCCACCACAGCTGACGGCACCATGACCCAACAGTCTTACTCGTTCAATTATCTCCCACCACGAGATGACCTGAACTCGCCAGACATGTACATCCCGATCATGGCGTTGATTACCTACATTCTCCTGTCAACCGTACTGGCGGGAATCAGGGGGTCGTTTCATCCGGAATTGTTGGGCAGCATCACCAGCACGGCGATCTTCGTCATCATATTCGAGATCATACTTCTGAAGATTGCAATGTACATGCTCAGTATCACCAATGACTCCCAGCTTCTCGACCTCGTGGCATACTCTGGCTACAAATTTGTGGGGGTCATAGTCACTCTTTTTGGCAGTGAGCTCCTCACGGGTGGCAGTGGTACAAACAACTGGGTGGGCTGGACTCTGTTCCTGTACACTTGGTACTCAAACGGGTTTTTCTTGGTACGTCTCCCTCCCCCGCTCCAATCACAGACTGCTGACCTGTTGCAGCTCCGGTCCCTTAAATACGTGTTGTTGCCGGATGCGTCAGGAGACCCGACAGCCATGCGAGGCGGAAGCTCCTACACTGTTGCACGAGCGCAAAAGAACCGCCGCACCTATTTTCTAGCCCTTTACGCTTTCGTCATTCAGATGTTGTTCATGTGGATATTGAGCCGCGAGGAAGCTGCGGTCAAGACGGTTGCCACCCGACTCGCTGGTCCAAAAGCGTAGATATGTGGGCTAGAGATACTCAACGGCTGCCTACCCCTGCTCGCTCCGATCTCTCGGCTTCGGCTGGTCATTGTCGAACTCCACCCGAGACCAGCTTTCGTGCAAGATCTTGCTGTGGAGGGTTGCAAGGCTGAGGACGGGCCGGTGGGACGAGGACATTCGTTGCCTCTTGAAACCGTGGATGTCATTCCCGATCCATCTACCAAGCTCTCATACTGTATCGGAGTGAACTGAAGCCTAAACCGGACCCTTCCATTGAACATTAAAACCGGAAACGCCCGATTCTTCTCAACTTGGAAGCCGACATTCGCCATTCGCACATGCCTGACAAGGGCAGGGCCTTCTGGTGCAGCGCACTGTGAGTCTCAGAAGATCAGGTTCGTCTCACTGTGCGTGTCTAGACCTCCGAACCCTCAGACGATCTTTCCGCTACTGACGACCTGGTAGCTGCATCAACCAGACCGATGACGCTGGGGAGGCAAGTGCATGTCCATCATGGGTTTCATCTCTGCCGACGCCGAAGAGGTGTCGGTTTGGCCCGGCGAAGAATATGAAGGTAGCAGGCTGCCATTCCACTTGGCCCGCACCGTGGACAAAAGGTTGATAGAAGTTCAAAAACTTCCAACTTCTGAGCCGCAGTTTGGAAATGCCGCCACGTGGGACAGTATCAGGATTTATTGGAAAGCAGACCGATTGCCGAAGAGAGTGGACTTCTTCAACCTGTGTCCCGGATGTCATACAGTAGCTTTCCTGAGTGGCTTTGTTGTCGCCGGCTCTGGATTAGCATAGCAAGAGCGCCTGCCTTTGGGCCATCTCAGCTACTTTCGTGGACAGGCGGTACAAGAGATCGTGGTGCTCGAGGTCCGATCACTTTGATATGCGGGTCAGAGATACTCCCGTGGTCGTTGCTAGCGGCTGTTGCCCATTGGGTATGGGTTACCTGCGCTCTACGGCCAATGCCACCCATCAGACCGTATTGCCGAGACTGTATACGACCTTTCCAGAGAGCAACCCATTCTCGACGTCCATGGGCGGCACTACATAAGAGAATTCCACGGTCATGGCTGGGCTCTTCTGGATCTACCAGAGGGGAGTATGTCTATTGCCTCACAATAGACTTCTTTGCCATCCTGCCAATTCTGCAGCCCGCTGGCCCACGGCATATCTGTTTATGTATATTACGCGAGTGCAACATTCCACATCATCA